GCCTGTCTTTCCTGGCTTCCCGGGATAGTGGGACTAGACCAGGTCTGGGTGACAAATACTGTGAGTTCGTATATATGTTTGGATATTGAGATCAGGTGCTCAGCCTAAGAGACATTTGATTTGCATGTGCTAATATTACAATCATTATCAAGCAGATGGTCGTTGACATCCCGGGTGTAGTTGAGGTTACCCAGGACTGTGACAGTGAGACAGGTGGAGGTGTTGGGATAGAGGCCCAGGGAACTGCAACGTCAAGTTAGGAGGAAAGGAGTGAGAGGGTGACGTCAGGGGTGGAGATTCCAAGAGGCAGGGGTCATAAACATGAACAAAGAAAACAGGGCTAAGGGGGTGGGTCCCAGAAAGGGCCCCGTGCGATCGGCAATGACAGGTCACTGGTGACCTCGACCTAGAGCTGATTTGATAAATTGGGTAGTAGATAGAAGACTGCAGAGGAAAAGGGAGAAGTCAAATTTAAAGAAGCTCTTTATGAAAGTCTCTGGGTAAGTCTGTGTATGTTTCCTGTAGCTGACATTTTATGTGCCTTGGGCTAAGCTACACCTAAAGGTAAAAGAACAAGTCAGAGTTAAACATCAGACCATTACTTTCACTGCTCCTTTTCTTCTCATTTCTTCATAGGGTTTGGCCTTGGTGGATAGACACTCAAGACCAGAAATCATATTTTTACTAAAAGTAGATGATTTACCTGAGGACAATCAGGAACGTTTTAATAGTCTATTCTCTCTACGGGAAAAGTGGACACAAGAAGATATTGCTCCATATATTCAGTAAGTAATTTGTTAAATATGAATTCCGAGTGTTGTTATTTTATACAGAGTAGCATAGGGTTTGGGGTTTATTATTAGAACACAGTTTTTTTGAGTATTTCCCAAAGACACTGCTTGTCTTCTCTATCATCTGCCACAACCACTGGTCCTGAAGGTGGGGTATCTGTTGTCTTCCTTCCTTACTACTTCTTCTGAAACCACTGCCCTGCCTTCTCTCTGCAAAATTGCAGCTCTTAGGGGGACAGTCAGACTACATACCTCCGCATGACTCCAAGGCAAGCACCCTTCTCTGATGGCCACCTCATACCTTCCCTGCCTCCTTGCTGTAACATCTAATAGAAGCCGGATTGCAGAAGAACAAGTTAGCCTAGAAGCCACTGCTTACAGGACCTCAAACCCACTAACACCACTGCCTCTTCGCTGTGTCTCACCTCTCAGGTCCTCTCTCTTTTAACCCAGATTGGATTTAATCTCTCCAACTGTTACTGTAGATGCTCTGCTCCTTTGGCCCCCTCTCTCTGTCTTCTCTTCCCTCCAGGGCAAAAATCTACAAAGATTAAACCCAACTTTCTGCTTGCTCTGTGCCTACCCCTGGGCAGCTAAAACTTCCTGGAGAAAATACACGGCGGGGCTGGCCAGGCTCTCTGAGGCCTGTCACAGGGGGCCCTGGCAAGGCACGGTCTCCTTATGAAACTTTTCTGCCCTCAGAGCTCACTTCACATCTTTTCTGTTTTCATGCCGTCAGTACCCTCCGTCTCCTCTTCGCTCTCAGCTTATTAACGTGCTTTCTGAGAAAACAGAAGCACCTAAGAGAGGACAAGAATTATTTTCTTCCCCACTCCAAGTCTGCCAGTCTGCTCATGTCTGCAACCAATTCCTTTGCAGTCCCTTACGTATAATGCATGAACTGTCCCTAAGGTCAGCCCTCCGGCATTGGATCCATCTCCTCTGGCCTTGTAAAGACTTGGAATCCTCTACTTACTCCTTCCCCCTTTGTGGTATCAGTGTCTCGCTATGTACTAGGTTATTCCCATCAACGTATGATATTCTGTAGTATTGCTCATCTTAAAAAAAAACAGTAACAGCTACTGGATCCCATGTCCTCTGCTCTCCTTCACGAGAAAACTCCTTTTGAAATTTTGTGTACTCTTGCTTCTTTGTCTCCCACTCTTTCCTTAGCCCAATGATATCTCCTTAACCCAATGGCATCGATCTTTCTGGGGTCAGTTGTCCATCCTTGTTTACTTGGCCTCTTAGCACTATTTCATAACACTGGACCACTTCCTTCTTGAAACATACCAGTTTTCTCTTCCAAGGCAACTACTTTACTCTTTTGCTGATGTCTCCCTTTTCTTCTAAATCTTTCAATGACAGCATGCTCTGCGACACTATTCTTGACCATCTTCTCTTCTGTTTATATTTATTCCCTGGATTCCCTTATCTAGGCCTGGATTTATATTTAGAGTTGTTTTTGTTTGTTTTTGTTTTTTAAAAATATTTCATTTATTTACTTTTAGAGAGAGGGGAAAAGAGGGAGAGAGGAACATTGATATGTGAAACATTAATCAGTTGCCTTTCGCACGCCCCCAGCTGGGTACTGGCCCACAACACAGGCATGTGCCCTTACTGGGATTTGAACTGTCAACCTTTCAGTCTGCAGGCTGGTGCTCAATCCACTGAACCTCACCAGCCAGGGCTAGTGTTGTCTTAATTTTATCTTCATGCTTGACCTTTTTCTTGGGCTCCAGAGTCTTATATCAAGATGCCTAATTAACATTTCCACTTGAATATCTAATAGGAATTTCAAACCTAACATACTCGTAGCAGAACTGTTGATATTCCCTTGTCCTAAACCCATCTTTTTCATCTCAGTTAACAGCACTACCATTAATCTAGTTACTCAAGCAAAAAGGCTAGGAATCACCTTTGTCTTTTTCTTTTTTCACCCCTCGGTTCAATCTAAGCAAATCCTGATGGATCATCTTGTACCTAACTCTGACTTGGTCTCCCTATTTGTATTTTGCCTGCTTACCCTTTCCTTCTTTTTAAATGTTTTATTTTGGAAACTTTTAAATATTCAGAAGCGGCAGTATAATATAAAGAACCTCCATGAACTCACCACCTACCTTCCATAATCATCACTGCCTCCATTATTTAAAATTTAGGTGGATTATGCTTTTCCGTTAAAGTCTCATAGTGCTTCCCCTTGCGCTTAGAGTTAAATCACAACTCCTTTCCTTGCACTTTGAGGCCCTGCGTGATCTAACTCTTGCTCTCTCCTCACATCCTCCCATTCTTCTCTCTCCTTGTTATGTTCCAGTCAAAGTCTTCTCGTTTTGTGGGGACAGAAGTGGGAGCTAAAGTTCAAGGAGGGCAGGTAACCTTCACAAGTTCAAACAGGTAGTCTGGTATACAGGTTGTCTGAGTCTAGGTCCTGCTCTACCACATTGCATGTATTTCTAATTCGAAGGTTGTGTGATAAAATGGAAACAAACAAACAATGTGGACTTTGAAGTCATAGAGCTGACTGCAAAATGTGGCTCTATCCTTTACTACCTGAGCTTCAGTTTCCTCATATCTAATATGGAGTAAAGTAATACATTACTCATACCTTTCTTGTGAAGTTTGAAGATAATGCATTTAATGTACCTAGGCAATTTAAGGCTTAATAACTGCTCCCTACACTCTCTTACGAACACCTACTCTTATACTTACTGGGAAGATTAGATTTAGCGGAGACAGATATAAATAGTACTGTGAATTTTGTTATGTTCCCTAAAGTATTCATGCTATTCTTTTTTTTTTTTTTAATTGTTCCCACAGAGATTTATGTGGAGAGAAGCAAACCATAGGTGCACTACTCACTAAATACTCTCGATCTTCGATGCAAAATGGTGTTAAAGTTTATAACTCAAGAAGACCCATTTCTTAAAAGAATGACAATCTTCTCTTTGGGACTAAAGCTGCTGGTTATAAGAAAAAGATTCTTTTATACATTTGTATTCCAGACGTTGAAAGACCTTGTGCTTTGAGGCATTTTTCTCCTCATCTTAAGCATTTTGAAATTACTACTGTTACTCTTTTCTAAATGTTATATTTCTGTCTTTCAAGTTACATTTGTATTAGGTATACAGTGTAAACAAGGATAAAAGAAAGTGTTATTTCCCATGTTTAGTATATCTCTGTATCTATTTGATGTTATTTATGGAAAATGTTTTGCTTTTAAATATTAACATTGCATTTCTTTAATTAGGATTTGACATTCTGATCATTAATAAATTTAAAAGTTTTCAGAGAACTAAAAAGCCAAGAAGATTATTTATACATGGAACTGTCATTTCTCAAGCAAGTGGGTTGTCCTCCACTTTCATCCTTTGACCAAAACGGAAAGTCACTACATGCTATTAGTTATCTACATTAGTCGTTTTCATTGATAAAATTTGCTTGAAAATTGCTCCTCTATTTGCTTGGCTGGAATGGGATGAAATGGATTTGATCCACAATTCTATGTGAGAGACACTAATAGAGCAGTTTATAATCCTATGAGACACTGACACAGGTAATACTAGAAAACTACTATATCTAGTTCAAATTAATTTGAACTTAGCTAGAGAACTTATCGGGAGGGGGTAGGCCAAAGTTAAGTCTGGTTCAAGGTTAAAAACGTTAACGGGCAATCCACAATCAACCAAGAATTGTTAATGAAGTTTATAACGTTTTTATTCTCAAGTACATGAAATGCAGATACGATAGCTTCAAAATTACCCTTCCTGTCTTTCAATAAATTATCTTTTTAAAAAATAAATACTGAGTTGGCAATGGCTAGTAAACTCGAGTTTGAGTCAGATACCTGGAATCTACTTATGCATTTTACGACTGAAACCTCTAGGGGCCAGCAAGCTGATGGTTTCCGAGACTCCCCCGTTACCAGCCCTCAGTCCCCGGCTCATCGCAAACCTTGCTCCACACTTCCCAGTGTGCGCTTGCGCTAGACCTTTATCTCTAAAATTTAAACATTCCCTTCTTTCCTTTCTGCTCTTCTCAACTCATCCAATAAATACTTGGGTCCACTCTACTAAACTTAAGCAAGTTTCATCCACTGTGTACACACACTCGCCAATAAAAAATCGCTACAGTATCGCGCAAGCCCATCCTACTTACAAACTTCCGGCCCTCGTCTCCGTCCCACTTCCGCTGACGTAGGGGGTCGTAGGTGACAGGAAAGATGTCGGCTGGCGGTGGCTGAAAGGAGCATCTCCGTGAACTCCGATTGAAGGGAACCTAATCGGGGAAGCGAGTTGGAGAGGGCGGGTCGGGCGGAGGCCGGACGTGGGCGCCGAGGCTGCGTAGCGAGACTGGATAGAGGGGGAGTGTGAGGTGCCGCAGCCCGGTAATGCCCCGCAGCCCTCGGGGCAGCCGCGGAGCCGGGAAGCCCAGTGCCGAGGGACCGATTCATGCCGCCGACTGGCTTAGAGCCCGCCAGAATGAACAGGAAGAAAGGCGACAAGGGCTTTGAAAGTCCAAGGCCATACAAATTATAAGTATTTCTTTTATCTTCCTTTTCTCTTCTAGGTTTTGTTTTCATTAATTTATTTTGTGATTACTTGAAACTGACTTAGTGGGCCTGGGAAACCTAGTGGGAAATGAGAACCCTCTCACGGTGATGGAAATGGTGTTTTTAGGGCGAAAATGCTTTGCACGATAGTGCAGTTTAGCAGATTTAATGCAGGCTAATAGACCTTTTTCTTAAGGTGTTAAACTTTTTACCTATAGAAACTTACTTTCGTGGCTGTTAATAAATTTAAAATAAGCAAGTTACCCAAATTTGTAGGATTTTAAAATGAAAGATAAATTGTGATTTTTGAGCTGCTTACAACATAGTCTTTACTTGTACTTGGATAGAATTATGCTTCGTTTAATAATAGAAATATTTCCTTTATTTTTATTTTTTATTTTTTAATATACAACCCATCAGGTCGTCTGCATCAACAACATAAACTTCCAGAGGAAATCAGTTGTGGTAAGTATATTGTTAACAATTATAAGCAGTAGCAAGTCCGCCCTTTACAATACTTAGAAACTTTCTCTTTCAGATAATTGTTTCAAGAATAGGCGAGAATTAGCATTCAGAGCTGAGTGCTAATTTCAAGGTCTATGACCTTGTACATACTTGCTGCCTGCTCAGTTCTCTTTTTCTTTTTTTCCCTGTCTCCTGATTAAAGTTTTTTCTTTTTAATCTGTTGTGGAATATGAAAGTCTGAATTATCAACCATTTTAGGTTTTTTTTTTAAAGAAGAATAAGCCCATAATGAGATTTCTTCTATGAAAAAATTAAGGTTAGAGCACATACTTGCTTAGCTAAGTAACCGGCTGCTAAGAGGCCGGTTTTGTTTTCTGATTCTTGGCTGACCTGATTTATCGGGCATTGCTGGTTAATGACAATGTAGAGGTGTTTGAAATCTAGTATCATCCCCTCCCCCATTCAGATGTATAGATTGCCGTTATGTTTTCTTTCTAGGAAAGCCCTTGACGACCCCAGTACTTAATTTACTCTCTCAGGGGGACTTATATTAAATATAACAAAATCTTAGTGAAACCTGGTTTTCTCTGAGTTATGGCATGAACTTTCCTTTCCAACTTATTAGGATGAGCTTTATAGATTTTAAAGATGTAATCTTTTCGTAAGAGTCATAGATTCTTAGATTTTAAGGATTCTTAAAGATTCATTCAGTCCCTCATTTAAGGAATTTCTTCAATATTCCTTGCATATATGATTCTTTGAATGCAGACAGTCTATCTCCAGAACGTGTGCATTTAACAAGGACATTATGCTATCCTTGCTCATTTACTATATGCAACATAAAATCTTTAAGTGATCTAGGAGTAGCAGTGGAAACTAGGAAGTTTCCTGTTTTCCCCTTTACTGATTTATAGTGAAAGAAAGAATAAGTAGCTTCTTGTCAAGGGGGATTTAAGAGATGTTTTATCTAAGGCTCGAAGGTAGAAAAGGAGTTTTTGAAAAGGTTGAACAGCAAGAGGGGAGGTTACTTAAAGTAGGATCGATGCTCCATGAGGACAGTCAGCCATGAAGTGGGGAGCGAGCCAGGAGCAGGAAGGCGAGGAGAGTGAGTGAGGTGTTAGGTGATCTGGGGGTTAGGTTACAGCTACACCAGTTGCGAAGGCTAACAGGGATTGGAGGCCAGTGGGTCTGAACAGTGCAGGCAACTTATCAGTTAGGGCTCTAGGTGGTGTCAGAGACCTGCCGATGCGAGGAGACGGGGCTTTCCTTCTCTTCGGGGAATACACTCCCTTCCCTGTTTTATTGTTAACCTTCGTTTAGAAACCCAAATCCTCTTATGGCCCACCCTGTAGCTAACTGTTGACAGCACTTTCCATAACTTTTTCTCATTTACTTTTGACACTATCTTGGTTCTGTTTGCCATCTTTCTGCTGATCCAAGCTCATTTATGTGGATTGGTCATTGTGTTGCTGATAGACTAATTAAGGGAATTTGGGTCTTCCTCCCTACAGTTGCTCACAGTTTATACCCTTACACACAGAGACTTCATCAACAGTAGTTTTGCATTTGCCCTTTTTTCTTCTCATCTGCTTCCACATCTATCTGTCCAGATGGTCTAATTTAAGGATGTATGGTTCTCCTGTTATTTGGAAATTTATTGAGGGATGGGGCGAAGAAGCTATGGAATCTCTAGACTTTTGAACAGTTGGGCTGAATGTTATCTAAAAATTCTTGCATTTTTTTTTTAAAAAGCCGTATACTTAGAGACATTATGGCCTAGTAGGTTGAAATCAATTGGGATTATTTAGAAATGGATTTGAATCTCAGTTTTCCATTTAGTAATGATATAATTTTTAAAATTAATTTAGCTATCAAAGGTATAACATAGTACTTATCTTTTAAAATTGTTATATGAGTCATGTAATATCTGGCTTTTAATAGTGCTCATTAATCAGTAGCCATTATAATTGTTATAATCTGGCCTTCTGTGTTTATTGCCTGTCTTTCATCTTAGATATTCCTGTTACAGCCTCTGAAATTTTTCTGTTCACTTTGTAGCCCCTGAAATGTTACTGTGTCATGCCCTCCTATAGTTGTGTTTGAGAACATCGGTGTTCAGCTCAGAATTTTAACTTACTGGACAGATATTCCATGTTTCATTGGTCTGTCTTTTCCATTTCGTTCAACACAAGAGGGCAGTGGCCAGTCAGTGTATTTAGCTGTCTTTTATTGAGCCTTTGTTTTTTAGATTTTATTTATTTATTTTTAGAGGGGAAGAAAGGGAGAAAGGCAGGGAGAGAAACATAGATGTGTGGTTGCCTCTCACGCACTGCCAGCTGGGGACCTGGCCCGCAACCAAGGCCTGTGCTATGACTGGGAATTGAACCAGCAGCCCTTTGGTTTGCAGGCCAGCACTCACTCCACTGAGCCGTGGCAGCCAGGGCTAGCTGTCTTTTATGTCTTAGGTATGTTTTTCAGATTGCTCACCATACAGCTAACATGGTAGAACTTCATGTATATGGCCTTTGCGTCTACTTGGTTGGAAGTCATCCAGCATTTTGAAGTGTCTGCTCCACTAAGTGGCAGGAATAGATTTTCCCTGCTTATCTGAGTATTTGTTGTAGCTCTTGCCTCTTCACATGTCCTGGTTTACCTTCCATGAGCAGAGACTCATACTTGTTAGCTTCATTGGTGTAGTTTTCTTACCTCTTGAGGGTAGGGGGTGGTCATGTTCTTTTCACTCACTGACCTGGTTTTGATTTCCTTCTTGCTCTGTCATTTTTTTTTCCCCTTCCTCCCTATTTGCGTTCCAGTCTGTCTAGAAATTAATATATTTGAGTCCTTTTCCTTTTCTTGTAGCAGGTGGTCTCATTTTCACTGATAGTGAATGTGAACCACCAGGATGAGAAAGCATACATAATTCGCACTCAGTCACTAGGCCTACCATGTTTGAAATGAAGATAACTAAGAGAGCACTTGTACGTATGTAGCTATATAGGATTCTGTCTCTGGAGTGTACTATGTATAGTAGTAGAAATCAAAAAAATGTATCCTAAAACATACCAGACCTAATTACAATTAAGTTACTGTTCTTTTCTTTACAGGGATTTGTGGAACTGACTATATTTCCCACAGTTGCAAACTTGAATAGAATCAAGTTGAACAGCAAACAGTGTAGGATATACCGAGTAAGGATCAATGATTTGGAAGCTGCTTTTATTTATAATGATCCAACCTTGGAAGTTTGTCACAGTGAATCAAAACAGTAAGTTATACACTGTAAAACTTGATATTTCTAACCGTCATTTTTCTCATATGATTTGATTACTTTTTCAGTAGATTTTTCTAAGATGATTATTAGAGTCTGGTTCCCAGGTTTGTTTTTTGTTTTGTTTTTCTAATTTTAAATTCTGTTGCTTTTACCACTCTGCACATTTGGTTCAAGAAATTTTACTAGATCTGCCCAACATAATAAACTATTGTTTTCCTTATTGAGACTACAGTTTTAAAGAAGTACTGTTGGAGAACTTTAAGTTTTCTTAGCCTTTTTTTTACTTTTAGTGTTTTAAAAAATGTTCATAAATATTAAATGTAATTTTTAGTAAGTTAGATGGTCATCATAATCTATAGACCAGAGACTACTTTAAAATATTCTATAGAATATTTTTACTGCTTTAGAATACCATATAAAATATTATGTCTGAAATACCTCATTCCTTCATCTTAAATAAATTATATTGTGTGTATTGAGGGTATTTCTGACTTTTATCAGTAAGCATATATTGTTGTGATCAGTTTTATGTTCTACTTTTTTAATTTAAATACTTTGTTCTTTTTCATGTATAATAGATAGGCTTCATTTTTTATTATTTTTATGGCTAGGTAATATTCCACTCACTTATTATACTGTGGTTTGAATGATTATTTTCTAAATGTTTGGCATTTGTGTATGTGTAATTTCCAGTTTTTGTGATCATAAGTAATGTTGAGTATTTTGGAACAGATGAGGTTTTTTTGCATTTGAATTATTTTCTCAGGAAAATAAGGTTACTGAAAGGCTCTTGTAGAATGTCCCAAACTATAAACTTTTTAAAAAAATTATAAACTCTTTCTATTCAAGATACTCATCTAGCTGTGTAGTAGTGCCTTAAGGCAGCAATTCTCAAACCGTGATTCCCAGACAGGAAGCACCGATATTGCCTGGGGGCTTGTGAGTTGGGCAGATTCCCAAGCATTACCCTAGATCTACTGACTGAAAACAAGGGATAGGGTCCTGCAGTTTGGTTTTAACAGCCTGCCTGGTGATTCTGATACAAGTTAAAGCTTGAGAACCACTATCTTAAGGGATTGGGAAGGTTGAGGAAGGAGGCTCATCTGTAGATATATATGATCCCAATAGTCACTGGTTTAGAATCTTTCAAACTCAAGAGGGAAAAGAAAATGGTACTGGGAAAATTCAGGAAATCTCTGAATGGCTCCTGTGCCTTCCCATTTCATAAAGGTGATCAGTTGTTGAAATGTCATTGCTTTTGCAGCCACACTGGTAGAACTGACATAAAAAGATGTTACAAAATCATCTGCCTTTGGAATAGTAACTGTGTATGGAAACTAATGAATGGAAAAGGCCTCTCCCGATGAAAGGGCAGGTAGGGGAGCCATGGCCTCTCCAGAAGGCCAGAATACTACCCTGTTGAGCAGAGAACTCATCGGCCGGTGACAACGCTGTGTCTGCACGCCTGCTTTACCAGTTGTTGCCGGGCAGGTTGCAAAGAGGATAACCTGTGACAGTGCAGCGACAAGAACACTGGACCCCAAACTGGTTGAGGAAGCAAGCTTTCCTTGGCCGTGATTAATGTGAGGTGTTGATATCCCTTAAAGATTTTCTCTGGCAATAGGGAAGATACCTCATCACGTCTAGTGTTATAAGTAAAGGAAAGGAAGTCATAGAGGAGAATCTTTTGCAAGGTTAGGAATTTGGAGAAGACAGGATATATTTAAAATTTTCTTTTCAGCTAGAACCAGAGCTCGGTTAGCCATGGTCACTTAGTAAATACTTGCTGACTACACCTGTTTTTCTGCCTACGTCTAGAATTTTTTAAAATCTTTCAAGAGTTTATTTGAGCCAAACTGACTGCATCCTGAGAGACAAGATCTCAAGTGCTCCCTAGTTCTAGAATCTTGATTACTTTATACGAGAGATGACATTAGTTATTTTTGCTGGTATTTGTTTATTCTCTGCTTTAAACTTTTCTTGACAATAGTTTTTAAAAGTCCTTAATGAAATTAATGTGTAGGGTCAAAATGTGTAGGATGGTGTGTACACACTATTAAGTGACTGAATAATTACTAGAGGAAAATTATAGATTTGGTTTTGATACCTCTGATTGCCCTACTAAAGAGGGAAATACTATCACTTGTAAACACTATTATTTATAAGATTCTTAAGACACAAGACAGAAACATACCAGTTATTCAGAAGAAATACTGCCTTTTTTAGCAGTTTGATATGAAAACTATATCCCATAGATGACATTATTTTTGAAGGGAAATTTGGGAAAGGCAGATAGTTAAGGTTTTTAGCATATCTCTAGATACTTCTGTTACCGTTCTTGTTTCTAAAATAACTTGCTTTCTTTAATGAACCAAAAAAAATTTCCACTAAAGCTGAAACAGAAAAAAGCATAGCAGTTTTGAAATTGAAAATTAAACGTAAAGTTATCAGTGGTAAAATTTGATCTTTAATATATACAAGAATGCCCTAACATTCAAAGAAGTATTATACTACTTTATCACATTTTGTTTGTTTTAAAGTTAAGATGCCAGGCCCTCCTATTTTTAATGGAAAGAGTGTGTTTGCTTACCTTGGATGAGATTCATCACCTTTGAACCGTTAAGGGGGATTATAAGGAAGGGAAGCATTTAGATAAGAGACCAAAAGGCATTTCTACGTATTTTATGCAACTGAATGTTAGCTGTGTTGTTAAATTACCTGTACTAGCACCTAAAAACCCAGTAGTTTATGTAACATCTGTAAGGCTTCTTTCTCTGCCTTTTGTCTCTTGCTCTGGCTCTTTCTCCTGTCCTCCCCACTCTCCTCTCCCCTCCCTTCTTCTCTCTCCCTCCTTCCCTTCCCCTCTTGGCTTATTGTCTCCCAGTAAAATAAAATAATTTCAGCACTTGAAGTTGCTCCAAATATATTTTGTATTTGAATCTTATGAGTTATAGATAGATTATGTAGTTTGCATCCATAGGTTTAGGGCTCTTTGCTGAGTTTTTTCTTTTCTTTCTTTTTTTTTTTTTTTTTTGCTACATTTCTCTTTTTAAGGTAAAATAAATGTGGACTTTGTCAGAGAAACCATTTTTGTGGATGGGTAACCTACAGCAGCCCACTTCTTTCCTTCCTCTGTGTTTCTTTCTCTTCCCTAGATGGGTTTCACCACTTTGAGAAGACTTTTCTTATTTTGCTTGAAAAGTAGGGGGTGGTGGTGGTTTTAGGATGAGGGCATATTAATATTTTGTACTCATTATTATTCTGAAAATGGAAAACACTTACTATTTTGCCTTGTAATTTTTGACTTTTATGGGGTTATTATGAAAGGAAACATTTGATTTGTATTATGAAAACAAACACTGAAACACAAACCATGAGAAAATTGTTCCTCATAACTGACTTCCTAATAGATTTCATTTCTAATGACTAAACATTTTATTTGGACCACTGTACATTTTCTCAGGAAATGAGGACATTACGAGGATAATTTCCCATGAAGAAACTGAGCAGCTTAGTATGTGATGTTTGAATTTGACATTTTGTAAAGTGATTATTTTTTATTTTTGAATTTCACAGGTAACTGGGGGAAATTACAAGTTCTTCAACTATCTTCCAAATTTCATGTTTCTGAAATTTTATTGAAGATGTAATCTATAGATGTAGTACGTAGTCTTTAAAATTAGATGTTACGTGAACTTGATGCTGGCAGGGTTGAGGAGGAGTGACTGGCACTTTCATGTTCTGCTGGTGGGAATGCAGAACAGTAGGGCCCTCCTGGAACGAGGTTCCGCAGATTATTACACAGCTAAACATATATTTACCATTTGACTCTCGAGCCCTGCTTGTGGGTATTTGTACTACAGACATGAAAATTAACATCACAAAGAAACTGATACACGGCTGTTCATAGCAGCTTTATTTGTGATAGCCACAAGCTGTGAACAACCCAGATGTCCTTCAGTGGGTGAATGAATAAATAACCTGTGGTACAGTCTGTACAATGGGACACTATTCAATATAAAAAAACAACAAACGATTAATGTATTAACACTTTTCATGAATTTCAGAGACATTATGAGCAACATACACTAGCCTCAAAAGGTTGCGTTTTGTGGTTCCATTTATTTGACACAAGACATAGCACAAGGGACTTTTTAGCATGATGGAACTGTTCTGTATCCCAATTGTGGTGGTGGTTATACATATGTTAAAATCTATAGAATTATATACTAAAGACAAAAGTTACTTTTACTGTATGATAATTTAAATAAATAGATGGTATGTGAAAACTGAGTTTTTTAATTGTGGTCCTTGGGTTTTTACACCTTTTATTTTATGTATTTATCTAACAAAGAAATTGTTAAAATTATTGATCAGCCTGTTTAATGACTTCAAAAATTTCATGTTGTGTCATTGTTAAAAGCCATGTCAACGTTACATGCTTCCTAGTTAGTAGCGAGGTGGGGATGGGGCGGAATGGCCTCTGTCAGGCTAAGAGTGTACAATTTGAATGTTTTCTTAAATGGCTTTCCCTTATAATAACTCTCTAGAGTTTTTGAAACTTGTTTTTTTAACTAGGTTAAAAATTTGTTAAGCTAGTGAAATGTCACTAACTTTACTTTGTGGCTCATGAATAGACGATAGACATGCAAGGGGGTACCCTCACCACCCCAAAACGGAATTATTTTCTGGAGGGCTTTGGCATTCCAAAATTATTTAATAATGTGATAATCATAATAATTACATAGCATTGGCAAGTAGACTATATATGTCATTGAATTTCAATAGTTTTAGTCATGGTGAGTAGAGCAACAATTTTTTGGCTAAAAAGTCTTGTTATGAATTATGTAAGACAATGCATTGCTTTCAGCGCTTTCAAGCAAATGGTATCAAATATTTAAGAAAATGCTTGGTGAAATATATGGCTTACTGATAAGTAGTTTTGTTTTTGTTTTTTTAACCTCCCAGGAGAAATCTCAATTATTTTTCCAATGCTTATGCAGCTGCAGTGAGTGCTGTGGATCCCGATGCAGGAAATGGAGAACTTTGCATTAAGGTTCCATCAGAGTTATGGAAACACGTTGATGGTAAAATACCAAGAATATGTTGACTGTGTAACACAATTACGTTAGAGTCAGAGACTAGAACTTTTACATGAAAATGATGTCAAAATTGTAAATTGAAATATACAGAAGTTGGAATCTTTTTTTTCCGTTAAGGATTGCAGGCTAACAGGAAAACAGCAATCAAGGGCTATGACAAAAATCAGCTCTTTTCACTGTTGTTTTTAAAGTGAAAATTGTAAAAAAAATTAGTTGGATGGAACAGTTTGTTAAGCTTTGAGAACTTACACAATATCAAATCAGTTTAGAATTACAGCATTTTATAGCAGGAAGGATCCTAAAAATATCATCTGAAGTCCAAAGTCCAAAGAGAGTAAGTGATCTGCTGCAGGTCATTAATTAGTGGTCGAGTGAAAGCTAGATCATACGGTTTCTAACATTCACTCTGAATACTTTTGAGCATAGTCTTATAATTTCTAAATTCTTATTTCCTTGAATAAAGTTATAGCCATTATAATTATTATATATAGTTACATATAATACCTGTATTTGGCCTTATAAAAATTAACCATTTTAAGGAAGTAAAAGACATTTTTTAAAAGGTTTTATTTTTTTGCTGTTAGAGAGAGGGAAAGGGAGGGAGAAAGAAAGGGAGAGAAACATTGATGAGTGATTGGTTGCCTCTCATGCCCCAACTGGGGACCCAGCCTGCAGCCCAGCATGTGTCCTGAGGGAGAATCAGACTGGCGACCTTTTAGTTCGTAGGCTGGTGCTCAATCCACTGAACCGGTCCAGCCACGGCAGACATTTTGTTTTGACTTTGCATATTTTTGGTAGTTTTTATGCATGGGTTTTTTTTGGGAGGGGGGCGGTAGAGAGGTTTGCCCAATTTAGGGCACAGGCATGGAAGGTCATCATTTTATGTTCAGAGATTGGAGATAGTCCGTATGGTTATAAGGCTTTGGGGGAAATTAAAAGAGACAACTTTAACCTTATTATGAAAGTAACACATTTATTCTGTAGAAATCAAGACAAAAAGCAATAAATAATGCATGATGTAAATTTTTAAAAATGTTATATATTTATTTTTAGAGAGGAGAAAGGGATGGAGAAAGAGAGGGAGAGAAACATCAGTGTGTGACTGCCTCTCATGCGCCTCCCACATGTGCCCTGACTGGGAATCGAACTAGCCACCCTTTGGTTCGCAGGCTAGTGCTCAATCCACTGAGCCACACCAGCCAGGGTGTATAATGTAAATTATTGAGTAGGCTTTCCCATCTATTTTACCCATCACTCCTTCACCTATTCCCCCAAAGTCAACTAGGGTTAACTTATCTGTGGGGTAATGTGATCAGGGAACAAATTTTTTTGGTTAATCTGGTTTTGTTTTTATTTTTTATTGTTGGCTTCTTTGTCCTTTTATTTTAAAAAAATATATTGGGCTGACATTGGTTAATAAAATCATACAGGTTTCAAATATACAATTCTATGATAGATCATCTGTAGAGTGCATTGTGTGCTCACCACCTGAAGTCAAAATATTTTCCGTCACCTATATTTGACCTGAAATGTGAGTTTCAAATTGGATCTAGAAGGACTTAAGTGTCCAATGTGGGAGTTTGAATTTTTTCTCTAGGCACTCTAGCATGGTCAGGAATGTTGGCATGAGGATATAGCATAACCAGAGCTACCTTTTGGGAGAACATAACAGTGACTAGAATTGAGTAAAGGCAGGCTATTGAGTTAAACGAGGTGGAGAGATGGGGAAAGCCAAAACTAGGTTAAGTAATGTGGTTTTTCATGTCAAACTGAGCGTTTGATTCCCATTTTATGTTCAGTTTAGTCTGCTCTTATTTACATAGACCACGATTACTTAATTATATACTTATGTATCAATGTATGTGTGTATTTATTTGTTGCAGAATTAAAGGTCCTAAAGATACACATCAATTTTTCTTTGGATCAGCCAAAAGGAGGCCTTCATTTTGTGGTACCCAGTGTAGAGGGAAGTATGGCAGAGAGAGGTGCTCATGTTTTCTCTTGTGGGTATCAGAATTCCACAAGGTAGATTATTAATTCTTATGTATTTCAGTTCATTTTACTTTTCAATTGTGTTTTTTCCTATGTAAATACAATACACATATTTAGCATAAAATGAGAAGTACCAGCTTTATCTCCCAAACTTGTTCTACCACTTCTGAATCTTGTTCCATTAATCATTCCTCCTCAATCTTATGTCTTTCCTCTTCTCTCATTTGCAAGTCTGCTGTTCTAAAATCATGTGTTCTTTAATTTTTTAACTTTGTATTAAAGTAAAACATAGAAAATTATGCAAGTTGTATGTAGAAAGCTCCATAAATTTGCACAAGTGGACGAACCCATGTAATCAACACTCACGTCAAGAAGAACATCAGCAGCATCTCAGAGGCCCCCTCCCACCCACTTCCATTCACTGCGTCCCTGCCTGATTCTCTCCTGCCCAAGGGTGATCACTATTCTGATTTCTAAAATACCACAGATTACTGACACCTGTTTTTGAACTTAATGTATCATATTTTGCCATGTATAATGCACATTTTTTTGCCCAAATTTTTGAGAGAAAAATAAGGATGCACATTATACATAGGGAGTGCTGAGGATGAGCATTACACACGCACAGCACGAAAAGCATGGGCGCACATTATACACGGCTAAGTACGGTGCATGAAGGCGTGTGCGTCCCGCTCTGCACATTCGGCTCTTCGTTGAACACTGTGATAAGTGAGATTTAGCTTCATTGTGTGTAATTGTAGTTTATTCTCACAGTTCTATAGTTCGTTACATGTTATTGAAATATTACTGTATAATAAGCATTTTTTCCTCAGATTATTAACTCCTCCAAGCCAGGGATGATGTCATACACTCGTTTGGTTTCAGTGCCAAGTGCAAATGCTGGCACAAAATACAGCCTGACCTGAATTGATAGAAAGTCAACAAGAAATTTATGTACAGCTTTACCAGCACTGTTTGAATTTATACATGCATTTTATACTCCGAAACAGTTTTCTAACTTATGGAGTAGATTCTGAATATTGTGTGGAAATGAATGCTCCATCAAAAGTGACTAATGTGAATATGTGAGTGAAACTCTATTTTTAATTTAAAGATTACAAACTAAGAATTGCTCATTTCTTTTTAGGGTTTGAACTGAAGGTACCACATGATATATTTACTTAATATTGCCAAACAATATTTGGAGGCACATTTCTACTTTTAATCAAATTCTTTCAAGTTGCACAGTAAAAAACTTCAGTAGTAAAATAGCTAAAACTTCTTTTTATAGATATCCTATAAATGTTAAAATAATTTATACATGGAGAAAGCAATGCAGGTTATACTTTGAACTGTTTTTTATACCATTGATCTTTTTTCTAGATTTTGGTTCCCATGTGTTGACTCATACTCTGAACTGTGTACATGGAAATTAGAATTTACAGTAGACGCTGCGATGGTGGCTGTTTCCAATGGAGATTTGGTGGAGACGGTGTATACCCATGATATGAGAAAGAAGACCTTCCATTACATGCTTACCATTCCAACAGCTGCATCAAATATCTCCTTGGCCATTGGACCTTTTGAAATACTTGTAGATCCATACATGCATGAGGTATGGCTTCTTACTCTGTTTTTTCCTTTTACCCTTTCACTCCTGAGAAGAAGGAGGATATTAATGAAATACTAAGGTTTTCTTAACTCTTAACTGTCAAGAATATCACTGGAGAGAAAAGGTTTCCTTGTCTGGTACATATTTAATGATATGAATTCCTGAATGAATTCCTTTCAAAAAGTTGTCATAGATAAAACTTCAGATTTTTTCCAGCAGAGGGGTTTGCATTCACCAGAGCTTCAAGTATGCTTTGATTAGAGTATATAGGTCGATTTCTGTAATTAATTCCATTCATGATTAATGTCATCTTTTTGTTAGGCATATATATGAATGTTACAGTCCCATCTCTGGATCTGAAAGATTGCAATCCAGAATTAAAGAGCAAGATTTGTTCTCACTTCACTATGTAGAGGAAAAGAGAAAAGGCTGAGGCAGGGTTAGAATTTTGGTCAACAACCAAAACTCTTGAGACTTCTTCCAGTTTCCTTCCGTCTTCTGTCTTGCAGCAAATCATTTATCAATTTATAGGTCAGATAGTGCTTTTATATTTCCCCAAGCATGAGACTGCTTATGGTTAGAAAGTAATTCATTGGTTATGGACCCTCTTGGCTACTGGACACATGTAAAGTAACATTTGAATGAGTTTATTATTTACTCTCCTTTATGTTTTCAATTTCAGTTGTTATTATTTGTAATACAAGGATTATACTGTGACCATGTAGAGCTCAACAGCATTTCTTTGAGTTACATGAGCAAAAATGAGGGCAGCCAGGTTTGGAGTGTGAGTGAGTTCCTTGGTGTGCTCTTAGGTTTGCTTTCCTGAAATTCGCAAGACTTTTGAAATCACTCATGGAAGATATTCACGATATTTTGTGAATAATTTTGCTTTTACTGTCTTGACAATGTCTCTTAAAAGTATTTTCACTGATAAGATAGGCAGTGAATTTTATTATTTTTGGTAACTGATCAACATTAAAATCAACATTTGATTAGTACCTACTTTGTATTTTGGAAGAATTCTTTTTCCCACTCTGAGCCATTGGATGAGGGAAAGGTAAATGACAATCAGGTATTTTTCTTGAATACTTAGAGCCCCTATCTTAGGGTCTTTCTTTGTCTCAAGTAGTTTTAATTTTTGCCCCAGTATCAGTAGATTTACTATCATGTAAATTTGTCTGAAAGTGAATTCTTTTCTTGGGGAGTATTTTCTTTTTTAATTTAATTTTTTAAATGTATTGATTTTAGAAAGAGAGAGGAAGGAAGAGAGAAACATTAATTTGTTGTTCTACTTGTCCATGCACTCATTGGTTGATTCTTGCACGTGCCCTGACTGGGGATCAAACGCACAACCTTGGCGTATTGGGATGATGCTCTAACCCACTGAACCACCCAGCCAGGGCCTTCACTGGAATTACTAATTTAAACGGAAAAAGCCACAGGTGACTTGAGCTGATTGTGTTGGGCAGCTCGGGTCTGGGCTCTGGGCGTACCTGGGGCCCCTCCGCAGCCAGGTCAGCCCGCAGGGGGCTGGAGCAGAGTTTGGGGCCTGGAGGGATGTTCCCTGAGTTACAGATGTGATGACACGTGTCAGCACTCCAGCACCTTTTAGTGACTTTGCCCTTTTGCCCTCCTGCTGCACCAGTGGGCCAAGCTGTGTGTCGCAGTGCCGGGCTGCGACACCCACGTCGGGGCTGTGGAGACTGACACAGAGAGGCAGGATGGTGCCACGAGGCCAGACCTTCCTCCGTCTTCCCTGCCTCCTGGGTCTCCCTTGGCTCAGTCCTCCCTGGCCCTCTGACCTCCCGGATCCCAGATCCCGACAGTCCGTAAGCGGGCGTGTGGCCCCCAGACCAGCACTCTCCCGCTTCCCCCAGAGGACCTGCGGCTGGGGCCTGCCCACACCGCAGCATTGCAGGACCTGCCAGCTGACTGGGGACGCAGGCCAGACACTTAAAATGTTCACACAGGGACTGGACATCTTTTACTCTCTGCCTGGCCCAGGGGTCCCAAGCTGGCGTGGTCAGCCCCTCCTACCTGTTGGGGGCTTGGTGGCGCTGGCCATGAAAGAATCCACCAAGAGAAGCTTTATTTCCTGTTTGTGTACCAAGAGGAGTGTTAATCAAGATGCAGTTTGGGCCCTGCCCAATAATAGTGCATAGATATTCATCTCTCACTGTCTCTGAACTGGTCTTTTATAACTCTGTCAGAAGAGTCATTTTTATCATAACATTTAAACTTTCCTTGCCTCCACAATCCTGCAGTCATCAGAACTCTTTAGAATGGCTTTTAAGGTCTTCTGAAATTTGACCCTAATATTCCTTTTTAGCTTTTTTCCAGTACTTTCTTATTTGTGTTTGTTATATTCAATATAATTTACTTAGATTTTCCTGTTCACATCTTACTTCTTCCTATTCCTGGCACTGTTTAGGACGTCCTCTTTTCCTCTCCTTACCTGTCAACTTTTGTCCAATTCAAAAAGATTAGCTCAGATTAGATCTACCCAAGACCTTGCCAGGTCATTCTAATAAGAGTGATTCTGACGTTGTTGATGCCGTTGACTTGGCACAGAATCATAAATTAGGACAATGAGATGGAATGTGATTTTTGCATGTCATGTCTAAGGTGTGATGTAGCCTAATAAGAAAATCAGAATTACTGATTGTATTGCAGGCATTTCTTATCTCCTAAACTTCCTGTGCTACTTCCTGCAGCTTTCCATATGTAGTTGAGATGGTAGAGGAGGACTATAGTAATTATTTTCTATGTGTAGTAAAGATAGTATGATTAACATTGACAATTAATTACTAAGATAGTCCTATGATGTGCAATATTCACTAAGTTAGATAGTTACATATCAAAGGTAGATCTGTAAGCCTTGGAGATTTAAATCTTTTTTGTTTTGTGTGCATATGCAGAAGAATTTTTAACTTTATTTGGAAACAAAGTTTTATTTTTATTGGGTATAAAAGCATTTTACAGGCTTATAATCCATCATAAGTTTGATTTTAAGTACAATAAATATTTCGTAAATACACTGAAAGCAATCTCTGATGTCATGCTGGCATTTTCTTTCAGTATCATGAGTTTGTGGAAAAAAAAATTTATGTGAATATTTATCCGTAATTGAGATATTTAGGAAATTTAAAATATTAAAGTTAGTTTATTTAATAATCTTTTTCCTTGCTTTTTTTCAGGTTACTCATTTTTGTTTACCCCAACTTCTTCCATTGCTTAAACATACCACATCATATCTTCATGAAGTTTTTGAATTTTATGAAGAAATTCTTACATGTCGATACCCATACTCCTGCTTTAAGACTGTATTCATTGATGAGGCTTATGTTGAAGTTGCTGCTTATGCGTCTATGAGCATTTTTAGGTTGGTATTTCTTCAGATTTGAAATGCTAATAGGGTAACAATGTAAAGACAGGTTATTTATTTTATCAATTTTAAGATGCTTTGAACTTTAATTATGGTTGGCTTTATAGAAAATCTAGTGTTTTTAAAATTAAAAAATGTAAAAAGTACAAAGAAGAAAATTTCAGACTAACCCAAAAGACTCATACTACTTTCATCCAGAATTAAATGATATTAATGTCTTACATATTTTTAAAAAGTCTCTTTTCTGCTTAATGCAATTTAAGAAATATTATACAAGGTGTTTTGTGGATAACTGGTGAGTTGTTTTTTTTTTTTTAAGCACTACTTAAACATTCACTTATATAGTCAAGATTTTTTGTAAGAAAAAAGGAAGACTTTATTTTTAGTTCTTTCTTTTTCTACCCTCTTTACCTCTCTCTCTCTTTCATTCCTTGCAAAGTTTCAGATCTTTGGAGGTTTCAGAGTCAGTCACTTTATCTAGACCTAAATTTTCTCATCTATAAAAAGGGAATAATAATGCTTCCCCTGCATACTCCAGAGTGGTAGTAGAAGGATCCATTGGGTCAGCATATATGAAAGTAAATAATAGAGCACAAAAAATTAATGGTTTATTATTCAGAAAAGAGTTTTCAAATTAGAAGAGCCTTTTGTAGGAGGATTAGTTTCTGACTGACATATTTGACTGATGATGTTTTCCCCTTGCCCCCCAAAAATAAGGTATATGTCCATTTTTCATGGAAGTCAGTGGGAAACATGGCAATCCTTGCTTTAAGCAAAATCTATCAAGATTATGGGTTTCAGCTAAATTTGAAAAAGATGCAAAAACACTTTGGGGAATATTCTGGGTTTTTTTTCTCTTTTATGCCTAAAAAATTCTGTTATTTTAAAAGTGTGGCTATTTTATTTTGCCCATTACTTGTTTATTTCTTGGTTATAACTAGCTATCTCTCTTAATTTCCAGCACAAATCTGTTACATAGTGCCATGATTATAGACGAGACACCTTTGACTAGAAGGTGTTTAGCCCAGTCCTTGGCCCAGCAGTTTTTCGGCTGTTTCATATCCAGAATGTCTTGGTAAGTGATTTCAAAGTTTACAACAACTAAGAATACGAATTGAGAAATTTTCTTTTTATTCTCTTTCCTGCAGTGTAAGCTGACCTTTGTGCTAACAGTAGCAGTTTGTTTTAAAGACACTATTCTATATATAGTTAAAGAAAAAAATGAGTATAAATTTCATCCTAAATTTTTGGTCATGAATTCAATATAGTTCTGTAATTTGCAATAAGAATAAGGTAAGAATTTTGATAACAATAATTTCTTAAAAACTGAATGAATACTGTAGATAAAAGGATTTGAATATACAGAAAACTATAATTAGAATTCTGATGTCAGTGCTTGGTCAGTTGGTAATGTTCAAGGTAATATTTAAGGCAAAATAATGGTCCTCTACAATAATGAAAATGACGTAGGGATTTTCCTGCTAGTACCTAGCTTGGTATCAATTGAACGCTGTAAGAGATAAGAACACTTTTCATTTTCATTTTGATTGACTTGAGATGAGTTTGAAGAAACACAGGAAACTCCCTTAAGATTATAATTTATAACTGTGACCAATCTGGGCTGTAAAAAATATGTAAATACGGTATTTCATTTTCCCCACTGCCTGGAGGCAAGAAGGCAGAGGGTAAAGCCTCTAGATTTGTAACTTCCTTAAAATTACATTGTTTCACTAAAGAACAGTGCTGGCCCTGGCTGGTGTGGCTCAGTGGATTGAGAACCGGCCTGTGGACCCAAAGGTTGCCAGCTTGATGCCCAGTCAGGCCACATGCCTGGGTTGCAGGCCAGGTCCCCATTTGGGGGTGTGAGATAGGCAACTAATTGCTGTTTCTCTCACACATCTTGTTTCTCTTCCGTTCTCCCTCCCTTCCCCTCTCTCTAAAAATAAATAAATAAAATCTTTAATAAGAATAATAGTACCTGGGACATGGTAGACAAAATAGTTGAATGAACAAATAAAGGAATGGATAAGTGAATGAATGGTGTCAATTGCCTTTCCTCTTGAGAAACTAAAAGAATTTAAGTAATTACACGTCCTGTCTCGGAGTCCCACTGATAGTTATGCACGGGGTTGTTAAGAATAGAATGTGGACGTTAAGAACGCAGCAGCACAGCCCTGGCTCCGGGCCAGTGTGTTTCAGGGATGGACGGCCAGGTCGGGGCTGCCCAGAGGGAAGCAGCGTGCAGGAGTGGAGCACAGACACAGGCACGTGGGGCCTGAGGTGGGACGGTGCAGCCAGGTGTGAGAAGGCACAAGGGGTGGATGGACAAGCAGAATTCAGCTGAAGAAGTGGGGAAACCAAAGAATTTGATAGTAACTTTCATTTTCTCTAAGAAGGCAGAGACATACACACACCTGTTACCTCAGTCTCATCTGAAGAATTTTTATGACTAAAAGTTCACATTTTTACTTTTTGCTTAGGTCTGATGAATGGGTACTGAAGGGAATTTCAGGCTATATTTATGGACTTTGGATGAAAAAAACTTTCGGTGTTAATGAATACCGCCATTGGATTAAAGAGGTAAAAAGAGCTAGATCCACTATCCACTTAGAAGTCACTAAGACATGTTAGTGTTCTCCTGATTTCCAAGTTGCATGTCCTTTATTTTTAATAATTGTAAAATACTTGTCATTCAGAGTGTCTAATTTTTTCCAGTAAACTGAGAGTCACTATACTGAGAAAGACTAATGGTCTATTTTTTCCAGTTTCCATTGTCAGTGTTGGCTTCTAAAAACATTTTCACTAAGGAGAGGATATTTAAGCTCCTTAGACATCAAATTAGTCAATGTTCCAGCTTCTCATTTTTAATGCATTTCTCTGCTTCCTAAATTTGTTTAGACTTAGAGCCCAGGTTCTGGAATCAGATTGCTCTCTAGTCTGCCTCATACATTTACAAGCTCTGTTACTTTGGTTAATCTCACCAAGCCTCCTCTGTGTAAGGAGAGTAGTATTAGTATCTTCCGTATGGATGGGGATTATAAGACATCATGCATGTAATATGCGCGGTGTCTTATGCATAGTAAGTGCTGTTTATATGCTGGCTAGCTTTTCAGTGCATTCATGCTCCTGTCATTGTTAGTCGTTTTCCTATAATTCAAAGATTTGGCCCATAGGAAAAAAATCAACTATATTTTGCCTAGCCCGTTCTACTCATGTACATATACATTTTACTTATATCACGCTTAGCTTCTTTTTTCTCAGGTGGAAAAAATTTTAGCCTTTAATATCCCTGTTAAATAGACCCTTCCACCTTCCCCCTTTTTTCATTTTATATACCTTCATCCTTCAAACCTGAACTTAAGTAAGCCAAAGGTCATTCTAAAGGATTTCAAACATTTAGGACTGTGAAAAAATTTCTACATCTAGAACTGAACAGTTCATTCTTCATTTCAAAAACTGTTAATGAAGGTAAATGGCATACAGCACTTACCATGTTTTGGGCACTGTTATAAATATTTTATAAATCTCAGCTATCTTTATTTTCCTAACTACTCTGTTATTATCCCCATTTTACAGATGAGGAAACAGGCACAGAGAGGTTAAGTTATTTGGCCAAAGTTACACAGCTAGTAAGTAGTAGAACCAGGATTTAGACCTGGCTTTTAACCACTTCACTATGATTTTTACCACCGCTCTCTACTCTGCTTGTATATTATTTAAACCAGTCATGAATTTCTAGCACGGTTGTGTTGTCCCTTTCTTTTCTTTTTTTTAACTTTGATGTATGTCATATGGAATGTTGATTCCCGTTCTGGCTGGTGTGGCTCAGTGGATTGAGCACTGGCCTGAGAACCGAAGAGTCACTGGCCCCACCCCAGTGTGGCCGTATGCCTGGGTAGTGGGCCCGGACCCCAGGTGGGGGCCTGCAAAAGGCAACCAGCCAAACCATGTTTTTCTCACATGTCAATGTTTCACTCCATTTCTCCTTCCCTTCCCCTTTCTCTAAAAAAATAAATAAAATCTTTTAAAAAGTTGTTGATATTTGACATATTTTTATGCCATTTCTTTTTACTTGGCTAAATTCTCCATCAAAGCAAAATACAAAGAAGGAAGAAATAAGCTTGGAAAGCCAGCTAGAGAGCTTGGAAAGATGCATTAGGAAAAGGTGCCAGGCTACCAGCCAGCCCTAAAGCTGCAAAGTAGGCAAGGCCCGTTAGGCTCTGCCATTCAGCCAGCTGTGTAGTATGCTTTGTTTATAAGAATGTGAACTACTCTCCAGATACATTTAATTTATTTTAACAAATTTATAGTCTTCCCAGGAAATGAGAAATTGCAGTTCAATTTTAAATTTATATGTAAAAAATTTTTCACTGACTCCTATTTTTATATCTTTTTTTTAGGAGCTAGACAAAATAGTGGCATATGAACTGAAAACTGGCGGAGTTTTACTACATCCCATATTTGGTGGAGGAAAAGAGAAGGATAAGTATGTTTATTGTTCAAAAATGATATTATAGAGGGAAGGAGGGAGGGGGGTGGGGACAAGGGAGGGAAGGGGAAAGTCCAGGAACATATAGCAAGGACTCATGGACACAACCAAAGGGGAAGAGCTGAGGGAGGGGAGGAGGGAGGGGGCAAGGGAAAGAGGTGGGGGGAAGGCAGAGACAAATGTATTTGAAAAAATAAAATAAAAAAAATGATATTATAAACCTTATTTTATGGGATCACTCTTTTAGGATCATATGTATGATGCTGAGGCCCACACAGACCACAGGGATAGTAGTAGCAGTAGATGATAATATTGAGGCCACAGACACTGGTAATCTTCTCATTACTCCTTTCATTACTGTTCTTACCACGTGTAATGGCTATAAATGGATTTCAGCGTTTAAAAAAGACTTAAAGATATGCTTTTCTTTTTCTGTGTTAATTTTTTAATACTCCTGTATCATACTCTTGTCGTAAAGATTTAAAATCACAGAAACACTGATAATTATTTTATGTCTAAGTCAATAATTTCAGTATCAGGACATCCTATCTATACCTATTTATTTGAATCTTCACCTGTCTAGATACTTATTTCCTTTTTCCTTTTTTCCTTTCATTTCCCTCTGTCACCTTGTGTCCTTTCTTTCTCTTGCTCTTTTTCTGTTTTTTTGGCAAGTAACTGCAGAGGAGACAGCCACTCAAAGTAGAACAGTGGCGCTAGCAGGGGCTCTGTTTGTGCTGGGGTCCGTGGGTTCCTAAAGGGAATGTCGGTTTAATTGGATGGGAAATTTTTTATAATTTCACTAAGCATAAAGTGAAATTTTACATTTTCTTTAATTATGTAGGCAACAGACAATGCTCTGACTTTGTCAACAGTAGACATCATGGATATTTTCTTGACACATTTATAGTTGTTAGCAAATATCTCAAAATGTTCTTTGCACTCATCACTACCTCAGATTTACTACAGCAGACCAGTGCTAGATCTTACTATTTAATATATTGATAAACTAGCACATCTATTGGTATATCGTAATTTTTTTTAATATTTTGATAACTGCATTTTATATCATTGGCTTTCTTTGTAATCCTGTAAATTTTATTTTGTGTATTTTAAACTGGTTTCTCAGATGGGGCCGATAGAATTAACCGACTGGCTGAGTGTCTAAAAGCTCAACAAAGGTTAAGAAACTTGAAATTGTATAACCAGTCTTTTTGTTAGGGTTACTGAGACAAGATTAAGTTAGTAGAAAGGCATAGGAATCCGGAGATAGAAGAACTTGGGGGAGTTTTTGTCATGATTGATTTTTGTGGTTAAAGAAAATTGCGTAACATTTTTGAGAAAGTATGTGTGTGTGTTTGCAGTGATGATCCATGATCCACTTTAAGCAGGTTGGTTGTGAGGATTATCTGAGTGAAAGCTTCATACATGTACACGTAGTACGCGCCCACTCAGTGAGCATTAGTTCCTTCTGCTTTCTTCCCCTGGCTGCCTGCTGTATGGCGGTTTCCCAGAATATAAAAGAGCTTTCCCGCTGTGTGAAAATGTTACTTACACAAGGTGCTTTTACCTTGACTCTTCCCATTTATTTAGTTGTATGTTTAATTTTAAAAATGTGTGTGTATATATATATATATATATATATATATATATAAAAGCAGCACATGAATAGTGCTCTTCAAAAAATTTAAAAAAAAGGACAGTTTGGAAGTATGTGGAGTAAAAAGGAAAAGATCCTTTTTAGCACTTTTTTACTATCCCTTACTCCCACCAAAACCTCTTCTTGGGGATAACTATGATTATAAATTTGGTATATTGTCTTTCAACATATGGACCTTTATTATTGCCTTTATTTATGTGTATATGATATTTATAAAATATAATTCAGTCATATGCATATTACTGTGACCTTTTAAAAAAAATTAACCATATCCATATATTTTAGCAAACATTACATATTAATTTACTTTGGTTCCACTTAAGAGCTGCATAGTATTCCATTATACATTGAGATTTATTTAACCTTTTCCACATTGCTATGCATGGCTAAAGCTCATGAACTTATAAGGCTTATAAACTTGGAAGTAATAGTGAAACATAAAAGTAATTATATAAATACCAAATAGATAAATATTTTAAATTTCAATATGCTGCCTTTTAAAGGAAGTATAATGACTACTCTTACACATTGATTTTGAGAATATAATTTCTACAGTGATTTTGAAGGGTAATTGGTTGATACCAATCAAAATTTTTAAATGGGTAATTTTTGATTCAAGTGTTGTAGGTGTGTTATGTAGAAATTCCACTTCTAAATGACATATGGAAATACTTAAACATGTATAAAAAGAGAGTCACTAGAGCATTATTTGAAATAGCAAAAAATTGTAGATATCTTAAATGTTCATATATGTCATAAATATTTTCTATAAGATGACCTTTCTTTTAATTTACTGATGATTTCTTTTCATGTCAGAATTTAAAATTTTTTGCATAGTCAATATGGTCTTTATGTCCTCTGGTTTTTATTTTATTTTATTTTTTTGGAAGATTTTTTTTCTACCCCAAAATTACGGAAAGAAATTTTTTTTTAATTTTTAATATGTTTATGATTGTTTTTGTTTTACATATGTAGTTCTTGACTTTTGTGTGTATGTGCGTGTGTGTGTGTGTATATGTATGTTTCCTAGTCTTTGTTGCTCTCATGTTAAGAAAATTGCTAAGGTATTCTGATGAGGTTTTTGATTTATTGTCTTGATGTGGCCATGAAATTTACTGTTTCCTTAATATTCAGGTTTGTTAAGTAAATCTGTTTGTTTGTTTAGTCCGGCATCCCATCTGCACTTTTCAATAAAGCATCCACATACGCTCTCCTGGGAATACTACACTATGTTTCAGTGTAAAGCTCACCTTGTGATGAGATTGATTGAAAATAGAATCAGTATGGAATTTATGCTACAAGTAAGTATTCAAGTTAAAAACTTAACAGTTGTAAAGAAAGATCTGTTCTGTGTATGTATAATCTGAATGCGCTTCGGTAAGCAGGGTCAGAGCATCTGGGTTTGTCAGGGGGGGCTCTCTTAGTCATTAGCTGTTCGCCTCCCTGGCCCTGTGTTTTGGTTTGTGTTTCCTCAGATGCAGGATGAGTGTCAATACTTGACCCATTTAGTATAGGATTATTATGAAGGTAAAATTAGAATGTGAGGATGAAGGTAAAACCTATTTATGCATATGATTTTGTGTTTGGCATTATTTAGAATATTAAGGATGAATGGCCATTTAGAAATGTTTTCAGTAGGAAAAGGTATACTTATCGAAAAGGTGCTTAGTTTTGCTATGGCTGCATTCTGCCATGTATTTTAAGCAAATTCTGGTGTAGGTAGGTGAGCTATAACAGTCAAGGTAGTAGGAACCAGATGTATTATAAGTGTTCAACAGTTTCCCACTAATGAGATCCTTAGAGATAAGCAAAAAAATTAACTTTCATAATCTTTTTAAGTTTGCTCTAAAATTAAGTTTCTTCAATTCTTCTGTCCTTCACCTTGCCTTTAGAGTAAAGAGCAGAAGTACTAGGTGGTCCATAAAGAGCCAGTTATCTTTTTTGAGTGGTATAAATCCTATTGCGTGTTCTCAACTTCTGAAATAAACAATGTTTAGTTTCTATGTAAAGCTCATAGCATAGTAAACTATTGATATATTATTATTATAGTTCTTAAAAACTCTTCATTGTTTGATCAGGACGTTATTAAAATTCAGTTACATTTAGAGGGAGAGTGGCTACTCTATTTAATTCTTTGCACGCTTCTGTTGATCTCCTTTACCTAGAACAGTCTATATAGAAGGACATGAAATTATTGTCTTCTGTGATTGACTAAAATAAAGTTATATTGCAGAGAGGTTTGGGAGAGAATTGAAAGCAAAGTATATTACATTACTAAATGATACGAAGTTACTGACACTTTTATCCTTACAGGTTTTCAATAAACTGCTAAGTTTGGCTAGTACAGCTTCCTCTCAGAAGTTCCAGTCACATATGTGGAGTCAAATGCTGGTTTCCACATCTGGGTTTTTGAAATCCATCTCAAATGTCTCTGGCAAAGACATTCAGCCTTTAATAAAGCAATGGGTGTATCCTTTTGAATTAGCAGTTCAACAAAGCAGGGAAGGGAATAAGGTTGTATGTGTAAGGGGAAGAAGGGAAAAGAGGGATTTGGGGGATGAAAGGAGGCAAGAACTACTTATATTTCAAAATAATGGTAAAAATAACCAGGAACTGTAAATCATTTCCTGTAAAGTGCTTGCTAATCATTACGCTCACGTACACACACACCATTCACCTATACTATTTATAAGATTTGGCATATTTTGAAGTATTCGTTTTTCGTGTGAGTACAGCGATAGGTTTGATGGTAGGGGAGGGAAATAATTGATCGGGGCAGGCCTTGGGGTCACTTGTTAAGATGCAGTGGTCTGCTGACTTGTAGATGTGGTTAGAGGTTGGCACATCTTGAGTTGTATCTTAGAACTTTTTAGTTTTTACATTTTCTCATTTCATTATATTAACAACCTAGTGAAGTGGTTTTACTTCTTTCAAAACACAGATTTTCCTAATGTTTCAGAAATTGTTTTTGAATCTGGGGAAACATTTTTCACAAGAATTTTGAATACTTTGCCACCTGCTTTGCAATGGAAGCGTGCCTTCCAAGCTTCGAACTGGTGGGAATGCAGTTGACAGTTACTACTGCCGCAGTGAATCATTTGTGGAGTATATGTTCATTTCAGTGTGCGAAAATGCCTTTACAGTTCTTCAGAGACCAGAGTGGAGTGGTAAAATTTTATGGAAGTTTTGCATTTAATAGAAAACGAAATGTCTTAGAATTGGAAATAAAGCAAGATTATACGTCTCCTGGAACTCAGAAATATGTGGTAAGTTTTTTTCCAAAATGGCCTTTTGCATTGCTTTCCCCCCATTACAATATAAGAAGGGCTATGGGTGGCGGATCTGGTTAGAAGTTTCATAATGAGATTTTGTTTGCAAAGAATGAAATTGAGCAAATACCATTTGGTGAAAGGAAGGTGGGTTACAGATGGATATTTCAGGGGATACAAATTCTTCCAATTCTCCCCTCCTTTTGCACCAATTGCCTTTCTCTTACTCCAGTTACACATGTTGTATAGTATTATTTTATATCTCGATAATACGTACCTACAAGGGTAAGAATACATATTGGTATTCTTTTTAGCACTATGAACGTTATGTTTCTTTTTAAAGGGACCACTTAAAGTGACAGTGCAGGAGTTAGATGGATCTTTCAATCATACATTGCAAATTGAAGAAAACAGCCTTAAACATGATATACCCTGCCATTCCAAAAGCAGAAGGTAGGCACTGAATCGTAATTATAAATTGAAGTTTATAGTTCAATTGTAAGTCTCACAGATTAAAATGCCAAAATAAAAATCCTAATGTATACCTAATTTTTTAGGTAGAGAACATGTTATTTAGTATCTTCCCCCACTGCCCCATTTTACTTCAAGTTAATATTACCAGACATTATTTGCTTTCTGTTTTTGGCAACATTTTTATCCTTAAATTAAATAAATTTTCAGTGGGTTTGAGAATCCTTATTTTGTAGCAGCACAGGGAGGTGGAATGGAAATTTGAGCTCTTGGAGCCAGGAAACATTCAAGGCAAATTGCATAGTTTCATTCTTATTAGTCTCATTGGATTACTATCTATAGAATATATTGGGGAAATGATTATTGACTATAAAGGGAGGAACTGAGTACTTATGTCACGAAAAGCCCCGGCATCGCCTGCACTGTGTGCTTCTCCCTTTCCCCTGTACTCCCACGCCCTTACAGACATTCTTACTGTTGTTCCGTGGCACGACGCCGTTTTCCTTAGAAGATGTCCAACAGTTCATCCTTTATTTAATACATTTTTATCACTTTTTAAAACTCAGCCTTGTACTATGAATAGTGAAAGATGAGAAGTACTTTTGTGCTTTGCTGGAGTAATTTGTAGTGATATCAAAATTTCAGGAATAGAAGTCTATACTCATGACTGCATTTAGATTGTCTCAGGCGTGAGAATGTCAGTTGATGTTGATGGCCCTCATGGAACGTGATCTGAGATCTCCCTGTAATCATTTTTTCTCAGTGAAAATTCTTTCTTAGAATGAAATCCCCCTTCTTTTTATCCTTTCTACCTTTGATATTAGGATCATCTGATTTCTACCCTCCTCATAGTATTTTCTCAGTTTTGTTTTTTCTTTATAATAACAGTATGTCAATTGGGCATTCTTTGGTGTGAGGAAAACAGAAAGACTGTTCTATGTTCCTGTTCATCCCACCCAAGTTATTATCTAGTAGACTTTACAATTCAAGAGTAATTTGCATGATTTCAGTTGCTTTTGTTTTAGGTGATCTTAACTCTTATACATATAAATTGTATATATTGATTAGTACTGGTAAGATGTTTTATAGCTAACCGCCTCATTTCATGTTGGACAGTACCAGCACGCACAGCATATGCTCAGAATTAGTCATGACTCATTTCAGGCCTGATTATATTTTCTTTTTTAAATACAGGGGTTTTTTTTGTTTTTGTTTTTATTTTTTTAATTGATAGCTCTCTTATCTTTTCTACATGAAACTTTAGCTACCAGTTCTTAGAAATATGTTTAGAGTTTACATTTAATAATATACTTCTTTTTGTTAAACTTGGATCAGGAAGACATTTCAACATCATTTACTTTATTCCTTCAGCTACAAAACAGATTTTGCTGTGATTAAATTCCATTACATTTACTGTTCTTTCTTCCTTAGACTATCTTTCAGTGTTGTGTGAAATCCTTAACTTGAACTTTGGTTGTTCTTTGTCTCCTTTTAGAACTGGAAATGTCACTATTTTAAATTTACTTTTTTTAAATGTAGGAATAAGAAGAAAAAAATTCCACTGATGAATGGAGAAGAAGTTGATATGGATCTTTCTGCAATGGAGTAAGTTAGTTACTTAAGTATAAGGACATAATATTTTCTGTATTCTCATTTGTCTTGATATGTACATCTTAAAGTATATAAATGTCCTGAAATTAGTGCTTTTAAAACTTTTGAAAGGCAGTGTGACCTTATGCTAAAAACAAATCTTACATAAAATCATATACAATGGAATACTACTCAGCCATAGAAAAGATGAAGTATTTCATTTGTTAACAATATGGGTAGATCTTTAGAGTATCATGCTAAGTGAAATAAGTCAGGTGGAAAAGGGCAAGAATCGTATGATTTCATTCGTATGTGGGATATTAAACAAAAAGCAACAAGTTACCAAACAAAACAAACAAATTCATTGACACAGACAGCAGTGGGGTGGTTACCGGAGCGGAAGGAGGGTGAGGAAAGGATGAAGGCGGTAAAGGGGTCAAATACAGGGTGACAGAAGGAGACTAGACTTCAGGTGGTGGGCACGCAGTGGCGTATACAAATACTGTGTTATACGTTTGTACACCTGAAACTTACATAATGTTATTAAGCAGTGTTACCCCCCAAAAATAATTAATCAAAGAGGGAAGAGTAAATCTGTCCTGGCCCTGGTGAAGTGAGGAGGTACTTCGCGGTGGTTTTGAAGTGGGCACAGTCTGCCCGTATGCGGCCTTCTCACTCCTCTCCTGGTCCAGACCAGTGCCCCTCAACCTATAACATACATGCCAGTCACTGGCGGGTCCTCTTAGGAGACGGTGTCTGATGCAGCACTACACCAGTGGGTCCTGATCGTTTGCTTTCTTAATGAACTCTCAGGCGGTACTGATGCTCTTTGTCTTTGGACAAGGCTTCAAGGTACTTGAAGGCTCCTGTACTTGCAAAACACAATTTAAAATAGCATTATTTAAAATTTTTATGTGGCATTTATTGACAGTTTCGTTATTAAATATTTTGTAGCTCAAACTTTCTGTCCTTATGTACCTGTATTTTTTATAAAACATCTACAATTATTTACTAACTTGGTTGCCAAATATCATTGCTGTTTATATACTGTTTTTATAAGTTTTCCATATCATGTGATTTGGCTATAGTAGGCACCCAATGGTATTTGATAAATTGAATTAATATTTCAGGTGGTGTTCCTTGGAAAAAAGTGTTGACATAGACTAGATTTTTTAAGAATGTGCTTGTTATTTTGAAAAGTTATGTGCATAAATTTGTGATATGCCTCCAAACTATGATTTCAGAACTTGCTGTTTGAAAAAGGTAATCGTAAGTCTAGCATTATAAAATAAAGTATTAAAATCAGTTAAACAAATTAATTAGTAAAATAATTCATTTCTTAGTCACAGACTGATTCTAATAAGGGATGACACTTAAAGTCAGTTATTTGGCTACAGGAAGTGAAAGGAAGAGACTTGGTCTCATACCCCTTTTCACATCATGTCACAAATCAAAGCCCCAAATTAATAATTTTAGATTGAATTTTTTGTCACTGTCCTTGGAAATCTTTTCAGCAAGGTCGATATAGACATTGTGATGAAGTTGAAATATATTAAACATAAATGACACTGTTGTCAGTGTAATTTTAAAAAAATGAATACATAAAATGCGAGGCAGCCTTGAATACTGCATGTAGAAGAGAAACTGGTTAGTAAATGGTTTGTTTGTATTTTAGGCGTATGTAAAGCTAAAAAAACTAAAATGAATAAATGGAAAATTGTGTTTCTTTCAGTGCTGATTCCCCTTTGCTGTGGATAAGGATAGACCCTGACATGTCGGTACTGAGGAAAGTAGAATTTGAGCAAGCTGATTTTATGTGGCAGTACCAGCTCCGCTACGAGAGGGATGTTGTTGCGCAGCAAGAGTCCATTTTGGCCTTGGAAAAGTTCCCCACTCCAGCATCACGGCTTGCGCTTACTGACATATTAGAGCAAGAGCAGTGTTTCTACCGAGTAAGAATGGCAGCTTGCTTCTGCCTTGCAAAGGTGAGGTTACATAAATGTAAAAAATAGCACTCCGAAATAGAATTAAACTTCACCATAGTCTTTGATTTCACTTGGTAGCTGGTCCCTTAAAAGCCTGTGCCAAAAGCTTTTTATCAAGACGATTAGAAAGAAAAGTGTTCAACCTGAAAATAGGTAATGTATTAAAATTTTATAGTTGTCAAACTGCAAGTCAGATTTTTAAAACCAAAGAGAATTTTGCACCATTGTATTGACTTGCCAACTACATTATTAAGCAAAGAATGTATTTGGTAAGAAATTCCTTGGTTTGACATTAAAGGACATGAAATGTGTTCATCTTAAGTATCCCACTGTGGTGATTGTTTCATGTTGGTTTGGGCTTAGTAATCAATGTTAGTAATATATAATTTAAAATGATAGGTTCTGTAATTTAACGTGCTAGAAAGTTAATTTACTAAGAAAACTAAATATTTTCTTTAGATGCAAAAAAAACCAAAGGTAGAACAAATGAAAACCAGAAAATGCAGGCAAAAATTTGCCCAGAAATACTGGGTTCCAGGTATTTGGAAAACATCTCGATAATAGGTTAATTTCCATTTGGTGACTCTCTTGACTTCCTCACTGCTGAATTCATTTGTCCAACATTCCACCAGATTGCAATGGTTTAGATTTGTTTAATCTTTAATGGTCACTAGTGAGTAATTGGATTCCTACACTCTACTCAGGTATATGAGGGAAAAGGTTATTTTCTTTGATAATCATCTGCTAAAGATACAATTTCATGGGTTTTATAAAGATCTTTGTGATTCTTGCATGCTACATTCTTAGCAGATCCATAACATTATGTTATTTAAAGTTAATTATAATTTTCTTTTTAGACATAATTTTTATATGCACTAAAAGTATCAATAGCAAGATACATTTTTTTCTTTTTTTTGGTAAGCATTCTTACAGACTTAAATGATAGTGTGGTACTTGGTTTGTTTTTCAAGTAGGGTAGATTTTAAAATGTTCTTTAAGATACATGGTGATGTTTCTAGCTGATAAATTTAAAAGTTTAGAATTATATCTGCCTAAATGGACAAACACAAACTTACTTAGAATAGAAGCCTTTGCAAATATGTTGTTTTAAAACATAAAGAAGCTCCAATTTTGAAATGAACTTGTAGAAAGTGTACGTAAGAATTTGGGAGGGTGAATTTGTATATAATCTTAGAAATGATAATGGAAGGCTAAAATCTGTTACACTTAGGAGAATTGAAGTTGTTGAAAACGAACCCATTTGCATTGCTCACTTTTAGAAAATGGTTTCATTTATTTAGAAATGTGTTTGCTGTGGTGATAGAAATTGCTTTGTTATCTAATTATATGCAGATTGCAAATTCCATGGTGAGCACGTGGACAGGACCACCAGCCATGAAGTCACTCTTCACTAGAATGTTTTGTTGTAAAACTTGTCCGAACATTGTGAAAACAAACAACTTTATGAGCTTTCAGAGTTATTTTCTACAGAAGGTACAGGTTTACTTTCCAAATTTTTAATGATTGTTTTATGCTACTATCTGTATATCTCAGTTTAACCTGGACACTATTCAAATGATAGGTATGTTTTGACTTTTTCTTTTTCCATTTTTAAATTTTTTTTCCAAAATCGTGATTTAAGTGATTGCACGTTGATTTTATGCGCGGTAAGAAAGTAACTCACTATCCACATGAATACTAAAGAAAAGAGCATGGATAATTTGAATTTGGGGTTGGTTACATGAGGGATGGAGGTATAGGTGAGTCTTTCTAATGGCAGTCCTTCTAGACGTGGGCAGCATTTCTGAGTCAGAGAGAAAGCGGCACACAGCTCTAGCTTTCGTCCCAGCTCTGCTACTCACCAGCAGTTTGCACGAAGACAAGTTACTCAACCTTCTTAGCCTCTGTTTATTCAATTATATGATTTATCTCTTTTAGAATTAAATAAGATCATGTCAAATGTTTTAGATTATATTTATCACATAGAAAGTTTTCTGTAAATGGTAATTCAGAAAGTGATGGTGTGATGCAGCCACTGTTTTAGGAAGGGATGTGAGTATGGCAGGTGGTCAGCGTTTGGCCAGTGTGCAAATCATTTGTAAAGGTTTTTGAGCGATTTATTAACAATGAAGGCAGAGATTAGATGAAGTAGAATAGAACAGAAGGAAGAGTGAAGTTGAAGTAGAAAAACTAATGAAACCTATTTTTTTTTCTGGTTTTGGGGGTGAAGAGTATGAGAAAAGAGACATGTTGAGGATCAAGCAGGGCTGAGAAAAGGACATTTTGGGTTTGTTTCGTTTTGGATAGAGGGAGGAAAACCTTGAGGCATGTTTGGCACAGAGAAGGAAGCCATTGGAGGGGAGAGATGAAATATTCCATGGGAGCCAATAAATATAAAACAGGAGGTATAGTGGATTCTGATGGTATTGGTAGTGGATGGGAAGTAGCTGGACGTACATTTAAGAAAAGTAAGAACCTGACTTTCTCTGAGTCAGTCTTCTGCCTCCTTAGAAGAGTTGCCTATGAAAATTTAAGAAGAACAAAGTTAAGCTGGATTTCAGATAATTTACCATTTATCTTTAAACTGAGATGGGATGGTATTGAAGAATCATTGTCTTCTCAGACTGATGATTGAACTGTCTGCCTCCAGCCACTGTCATTTAATCCTGAAAAGGGTTTTGAGAAATGGTTGTGAGGTTGGGAGGCTCCTGCTTAGTAAGCAGCAACTAGCTAAAATAACCCATCCTAATAGGTAGTAGAGTAAGAGTTGAATAACGGTTTATCTAATGTTAAAACCCATACCTTTTCTACCGTAAAATCCAGAGCTGAATTTATGTAATTTACATGACATATATTTCTTCTGACAAATGAAAGACAAAGCCTGTAGGCTACAGGGTGCATCCAGTTACACAGCTCTTCCCTTGTTTTCCTGCTCAGCTCTTCTGTTAGAATGTTTGTGACATTTTCTTAGTGGAAGGGGAGGGAGTTGGGGGGTTTATGCTTCATCCAGATTCCTGTATCTGCACTAGAGTCACCTTTTCCTACATGTTCTGAATTCATTGAATTGTAGTAATGAAAGTTGAGTTATATGCATAAAACATATATTTATATGTTTAAAAATGTTTTGCTTAAAATTTTTTTTTCTGTAGACTATGCCAGTTGCAATGGCTCTGTTGAGAGATGTTCACAACCTTTGTCCCAAAGAAGTCTTAACATTTATTTTAGACTTAATCAAGTACAATGACAACAGGAAAAATAAGGTAAGATACCTTAATGAATATTATAAAACTACCCTGTGATATTTTGTCTTTAAATCAATATTTAGACTGTGAAACCATTGTTGAGTGCATGGTACTTGAAATTTCTAGAGTTAGAAACATGTAAACATGATTTATTGTAATAACCAGTGGATGAAAACCAAGATTAGCTGGTTTTTAAATGTTCCTTATACTTGTAATGTGGAGATAGTAGTGCATCATATTTTGGAGAGCCAGCTAAAACTTGTTTTGGTGAAGTCTGACAAACCAATTTTACTTTCACTCCTTTTTTTTGTTTACCAAGTGATATCCAGAAAACAGTTCCCTCTTGGGATAATATTTTTAGTGATGAATTTGACATTTATTTAAACCATTATATGTGTTCATTCATTTATTTAGCTAGTAACTATTGGATGCTATGCTTCAGGCTATTTCACCTTATTTGTTATCAGATAATCTAGTTTATCAAGTAGGATTATAGTATCTGTGAGAATTGGATATGGTCTGAGGGGTAAATGTTAAATCATTTGGTTTTCTTGCTTTACCCACACCCGTCTCCTTTTTAATTTCTGAGTTCATTCTGTGATCCAAATACTTAGGTCAGAAACACAGTTAATTAAATGAGCTTTTGCTTTGTTGGCAAAGTAGTTAGTAGCGGTAAGAAAGAAACTATAAAAATACTTGAAGAAAACAACCAATAAATGATTTGATCTATAGTGTGCACTTGTGGGATAGTTTTTGTTTGGTTTTGTTTATTGTTGTGTTCCATATTTTATTTTCCTGCTCAGTATCTGAACATAGGAATCTTTTGGGGCTCTAATGTCATAGGTGTCAATGTGAGGCTCTGCCTCCGCAGTAGAAGTCAAAAGGGGTAGGTATTCCTCTTCTGTCCCTGACAGTTGGTGCTGTTGGTAGAATTAACCCACTTGTTCTAAATTCAAATTACCAGGCTAGAGTATCTGATTTCCTGAGTTTAAATCAATCCACACCTAGATTCCCATTCGATAAATTGCTTCTCTGGGAATTGACTGGGATATGAGTTTAGGAATTTTTTTTTTTATGGTTTCCTTCTCCATTTTCGCTACTTTCGCTAGAAACTCCTATTATTCCTATGTTATGTCTTCTATACTATCCCTCCAATTTCCTTATGCTTTCCTTCCAATTTTTTGTCTCTTTTTGCTCAAAATTTCAGGAGATTTTAAAATACTTTATATTTCAATTTAGTTGTGATTCTGATTCTCTGCGTATCTCATTGTTTTAAAAGTGTTTTGCTATTGGAAGGCATCTCATTGGTTATTTCTCAGACATTAATGATAAGTTTGGATTTTCTCCCCCTGCCAGTTTTCCTTGCACACTCTATTTCCTTCAAGTTGTGTTTTTCCCTTTGTTTGTTCTGGTCTTTTTTATGTTGATACTTTTTAAAAATATCTGGTGATCTTTGGGTTATATGTTTATATATGAGAGTAGAATACTAAATAGCTGATTTGAAGTTCTGTATGACAAGGAAGATATGTGAACTGTGGTCTTCCTTGTAGAGGACTCTGGCTAGGTTACTAGAAGAGTGGCTTTCATGCAGTATTTGTTGAATAAACTAATGTATGAGGTCTGTCCAGAAAAAGGCCAGCCATTGTTGATATAATGAGAATGGTTTGCACAACATTGATGTAAGCTGGCAGACAAAGAGAGTGGACTGAAATGCGCATGTGTGAACAATACCAACTTCACTCTATGAGTCAGTGGGGGCGGTAGACGCCGTTGAGTGAGCATGTGTACTGTGTGGCCATCACATAAAAAAAAATGAGCAAGTAGAGCAACAAACCTGCATCAAATTTTGCGTTTAGCCTCAATCATTTTTCTATGGAAACTATTCAGATGATTCAGAAGGCTTTCGAGGATATTGAAATGAATGCGACACAAATAAAAGTGTGGTGCAAATGCTTCAAAGATGGTTGAAAATCTGTTGAAAGTGATCCATGTTCTAGAAGGCCTACAATAAGCAGACCACCAGAGAGTGTTGAACGTGTACAGGCTGCACTCAACAAAGATCAGCTACTGACAGTAAGAGAACTAGAGGCTGATCTGGGGATTCCAAAAACTACTGTGTCTGAAATTTTGATGCAGGATCTTGGCATGAAACGTGTTGTGGCAAAATTCATTCCATAGCTTCTGCCACCAGAGCAGAAGGAACGTCATGATGCAATTGCTAATGACTTGATTCAAACCGCTACCAATGAACCAGATCCTCAATAAGGTCACAACTGGAGATGAATCATGAGTTTATGGCTATGATCGGGAAATGAAGGCCCAGTCATCCCAATGGAAGTTGCGTGGTTCTCCACTCCCAAAGATGGTGTGGCAAAGGTACAACAAGATCAAGGCCATGAAGGTGTTGTCCATCATGAGTATGCCCCTCCAGGCCAAACAATTAATAAGGAGTACTACCTCAATATTCTTCATCTGTTGAGAGATGCAGCATGACAAAAACATCCTTAGTTCTTGGCAACTAGTAATTGTCAACTTCATCATGACAACATGCCCACTCATGCATCACATCTGGTGCACTTTTGGTGAAACATCAAATCACGCAGGTGACTCAGCCCTCTACAGCGCAGATTTGGTGCCCTGCAGCTTCTGGCTTTCCCCAAAACTAAAATCACCTTTGAAAGGGAAGCGATTTCGGACCATCAGCAAGATTCAGGAAAACACAGGACAGCTGATGGTGATTCGGAGAACTGTGTAAGGTCCCCAGGTGCCTACTTTGAAGGGGACTAAGGCATCATTGTCCTATGTACAATGTTTCCTGTATCTTGCATCTACTTCAATAAACGTCTCTGGTTTTCATAGTACACGGCTGGATCCTTTCTGGACAGGCCTTGTATTTCTAATTCATGAATCTCTTTCACTTTTTTCCTAATGTGTGATTCTATGTAAAGGACTAAGTTGAATATTTACCAACTTATATTGGTAAGATAAATTACCAATAATAATCAACTCAGATAAATTATGTTCTTAGATTATAAGTATTTTATTTCATTACTTTTGAACAGAAGTTTGAATTTTGTTATCCTCACATAATTTTTTGCCTTAGTTTTCAGATAATTATTATCGTGCAGAAATGATTGATGCTCTTGCCAACTCTGTTACGCCTGCAGTGAGTGTGAATAATGAAGTTCGAACTTTAGATAACTTAAATCCAGATGTGCGACTGATTCTTGAAGAAATCACCAGGTTTTTGAATATGGAAAAGCTTCTTCCAAGTTATAGACACACCATCACTGTCAGGTATGATGATTCCTTATGTTTTCTTTAAAGTTATTTTTATAATTGAAAGAGAAATTTATTCCCATTATAGAAAACGGAAAATACAGTAAAGTTAAAGGAGAAATTAAAATTAAAGGAAAATTAAAATCCTGTGATTCTGTCATCCACAGATAAATTATTTCTGTAGTGTTTTAGAGAATGACCTTCAAATTTTCTTTCTCTTACATATTATAAATTTTAAAGTAGTGGACATATATTGTATATATCATTTTTGTATTCTGTTTATATCACAACCTCATGTCATCAGAAAAGCATTATTTTTGATGTCAGCATATTTTATCTCATTGGATATTAGCATCCTTCTCTTAGACACTTTTAAGAAGACTTTTGCTTTTTTCAACTTCATTGGATGATTATCAAAAAGTTCTATCTCTTTAGGAGTTTGCTAAAAAAAAAAAGTTTGATTCACTGTTTCAAACATTATGAACAGCTTAGCCTTCCACATTTACTATTTACTAAACTGTGTAACTAAAACTTTTGGAGAAAATACTAAATATAATGATACCTGAAATTGAATTTCGAAACAAGTTTTAAAATTTTTTTTCCTTTCATAGCATTTATATACTTTAAATTTTTATGATCATTGCAAAAATTTAATGATACACAGTTAAAAGGAGGATTTAAATCAGATCAGTTTTTCAGTTTACTGTTATAGGTTGATTTCTAATGCCTTGTAAACACTATTTTCCCAGCTGTTTGAGAGCCATACGAGTGCTTCAGAAAAATGGACACGTGCCAAGTGACCCAGCTCTTTTTAAATCTTATGCAGAATATGGCCACTTTGTGGACATTAGGATAGCAGCTTTGGAAGCAGTTGTTGATTATACTAAAGGTAATGCTTTAGAAGTATATGTTTATATCATTTTAGAAGGAAATGTCTACTATTTAAAGCCAGTCTTAGTTATTGGAGTTTTCTTTTTATGTACAATACAGATATTTTAATTTTAAATTCTTGACTCACTGATTTTTATTTAACGTAGAATTCTTGTAAGAATTTATAAGTGAGAGAAAAGAATAAAATTAATAGATATCTTTGCTCTTTCCAAGGAGTCAGTGTATCATTCTTACTGCTTTAATTATGTGTTATTTTAAGAAATAGAAGATTTTTTTGGTGAAATTTCTTAACTACTTAAGAGGGATTCAAGAGAGCATCTTGCTCCTGTCACAGAGCTGTGTCTGTGCAAGCAGAGCAAGAGATGCAAACCGGCGCTCCGGGTGGGGGTTCGGCAAGGCTTCATAAAGTTGGAAAAAAGAGCCAAAAATAAGTAAGAGAAAGCTACACAGGCAAAACGTTCTCAGAAATACAGAGGAGAAATATAAAGAGATGGAAATGTAAAAAAAGAGGCGAAAAGGTCATGAGGAGTGGAGCTGGTGGATGAAAAGCAATCATCCAAGAGTGATAGAATACTTTGATAAGGTGTAAAGAAGACTGACCTAAGCTAGAGCCTGATGAAATTTAAAATTTTAAAGTTAAGGAAAAAAAGGTATAAGTTCCTAGGAATATCAGAACCCAGTCCTTACACGAGGTAAGAGAATAATGTGGCCCCGTGACTTCTTCAGAGTGTGAAGAGTTCAAAAGGGTTCAAAAGGGAACAAATAGCTAACATAATAATGTCTAGGGGAAATTTGATTTAAGATTCTGTACTTTGCCAAGTTGTTTTGTTGCTCACATAGCCTTGAAGGCTAGAAGTACATCTCCTATGTAATATTTTAAATAATAAAGTTCCCAAAGATAATTTTCAGCTGGCCTGGAAATCAATCAAAGTAATAGCTAAAGATCAAAGTGTGAAACGCAAAACATAGTGATCAACTACTATGCCTGTAAAATAAAGAGCTAAGCTTAAATATTTGTTAATATGGTTATAAAATTTAATGCAGATTTCAAAAATAATTCTTAAAAAGGCGAAGGGATTAAGCAAAGAAAAACACCCCGTATACACAGACAACAGTATGGTGATTACCAGAGGGAAGGGGGGTCGGGGGAGGCAGAAGAGGGTAAAGGGGGGAAATGGTGTTGGAAGGCTTGACTTGGGTGGTGAACACACACTACACTCTACAGATGATGTGTTATAGAATTGTATAAATAGAATAAAAACCTATAGAATTTTATTAACTAGTGTCACTTCAATAAATTCAATAAAACCTCTGGGGAAAAAAGTAATATGTAAATGTGAGAAATATGTAAATTAACCTACATCTAAAATTCCAGATCATAGCACTAAAATATGAGAAAAATAAAGAAGTTAAAGTATCTTGAACTTCTCATCTGACTGTGGAAAGAAAGGAAGGGGTGAGGGAAGTTCTTTAATAGATATTGGTTAATTTTTACATGTTAAATAAAGGAAAGTATGCTCAAATTTTTATAACCTTTTATACATTTCAATAGAAAAGTTATTTATAGTTAGGAATTATAAAAGGGTATGGTGAATGTTGTGTGTATAATACGTATGTTGGTCTAAGTCCAGAAAGGACTGTCATTTGTTCTTTTTATAGAGTGTTAGAATATACTTTTAAGAAATTATAGTGAAAATAGTGATTTAAAAAAATTAATTTCTTGATAGGGGAAAAAAAATGCAATCCATCAGTCTTCAGTATTGTTTTGAGATTTTATCAGTTCATGAAATTTAGAAGTTTTGAGGTACACTAATCATGCCAATATTCCCAACCTTCTTTCCCAAGGTATATGATGTTCACTCTCACAGAAATATGATGGTTTTATGAATTAGTACTATCTGAAAGAAATAGAATGCTAATACTATGATTTCCAAAAAAACACTAAAGAAGTATAATCAGAGACGTGTTTAAATGTGATCCATGAATTTTAGATAGTTTGAATGGAAAATAGTAGAAATCAAATTCTGAAGATAAAGTTTTTAAAGTCAACAACAAAACTTGTTGAAAAGGTGAATGGAAATAGCTAATGAGTTATTTTATGGGTCAGTTGTATTTATAGTACTATTTTATTTTTGTAATTGCCCTTTTTAAGATTTTATTTTTTTAGTTTTAGATAGACATAAAGGAAGGGAGAAAGGGAGAGAAACATAGACTGGTTGCCTCTCACGTGCCCCTCACGGGGGACCTGGCCTGCAAGCCAGTTATGTGCCCTGACTGGGAACTGAACCAGTGAGTGCTTGGTTTGCAGGCCGGCACGCAATCCAATGAGCCACACCAGCCAGGGCAATTTTTGTATTGCCTTTTATATTATGTGGAAAAGTTAAGTGTGTTCTTTGGTCTTACATGAAAGAAATGAGTTGGGCAAAAACAGTTCATTTTATAATATAGTTTAGGGATCATTGAGTATCAGACATCTCTATAATTTGATTTAAGCATTTAGAAACAATTTTTTTAAAACACATTTTGTCCATTTAGAGTTAGTCATCTCTAATTTAGTGCTCAATGAATTGTAATTTGCTTTATGTTGTATTTGCCATTGATTTGAGCTGCAGTGAAAAATATACACTTGGCTTTGTTTTATGTTTTGGCTACATATAGCATAATACTTAGAAAATTTACAAAGTGATCTATTATGTAAAAAAATAAAAAATGTAAGGAGGTTGTCCACAGCCTTCAACTCTGACTGGAAATCCAGCTAAGGCAGAGTCCAAGATATTAAGTGGAAACTCCTTGCCTATCACTTGTTTAATTTGCTGTAATTGCAACAATATATTTCTTTATTTTTATTTTCAGTGGACAGGAGTTATGAAGAACTGCAGTGGCTACTTAATATGATTCAGGATGACCCTGTACCCTATGTAAGGTTAGTTTTTGTGCTATAACTTTTTTGTAAGTCCTAAAGTAAATTGAATAATTTCAAAAGATTATACATGGAACAAATCTGTTATTTTTGAAAACTTAGAAATATGTTATGTATTTATCATGCTCTTTTTTGACTTTTTAATTTGATTTGCCTTTGAAAAGCCATTTAAAAAATATATTGTTAATAAATAAAATTTATTTCCTGTTATTTCATATATGATTTCTATTGTAACTTCAAGGAAAGCTTATGTAATAGTTTGTAATGTATCTGGAAGAGCCCTTAGATATTCAAAATTATGAAACCTCTACTGATTGATTTAATTTACTTTAAAAGTTATTAAGAACAATGTTTTGGTGTATCTAATTTCTTCCTTGCTGTCGCATATAAAATCTTAATTTTTCTTAAATAGAGTTGGAGTTATTTTCATTTTTTATATGCCTTTCTAGTCTTTTCATTTTTTTCACAAAGAGGGAAAGGGAAGGAGAAAGGGAGGAAGAGAAACATTGATTTGGGAGAGAAACGTCAATTGGTTGCCTCTCACATGACACCACTGTGGACCTGGCCCGCAACCCAGGCGTGAGCCCCGACAGGGAATTGAACCAGTGGCCCTTCAGTTTGCAGGCTGGTGCGCAGTCCAGTGAGCCACACCAGCCAGGACCCTTCTAGTCTTTTCTGCTGCTTTCTTTTGCAAATAGGATGTTTATGGTGTATTCAGGTAGAATTAAGTTTTTTTACCAATTTTGTCTTTCTTTGCACATAGTAGATATTTAAATTTTTGTTCATTTTAATATTATTTTATAAAATAAAATTTGAACGCTGGAAAGTAACTTAGGTTATAATCATTCCAACTAGAACCAAGAACATAGAGAGCTAGACATTAATTGTCTTGCTCGCCTTTACATTATCAGTTGGCAGTTAGTTGTTTTCTTTTAAAAAGTCACAAATAAACTACTTTCTGACTTCACTGAAATGCATCTGGGCCTGAGGAATTCACATAAGACATTTCAGCCCTACTGGAGATTTGGGTATGGCAGTGAGTTTTTGGTTAAGTGAGCTTCTATTTCAGTATTTTAAATGATGCTTATTACATAAATATCCTTTATACAAAATTTTGCTGTTAATATTTCATAGTTCTTCTTTTTCCTCTTATTTTAAAATTTTTATTTATTTATTTTTAGACAGAGGGGAAAGGAGGGGGAAACATCAAGGTGTGGTTGCCTCTCATGCGCCCCTAACTGAGGACATGGCCCACAACCCAGGCACGTGCACTGCCTGGGAATTGAACCAGTGACCCTTTAGTTCTCAGGCTGGCACTCAGTCCACTGAGCCACACCAGCTGTGGCGTCATTTGTGATCTAAATTATATTTTAAATGATTTGTAATTGTGATTAATATAGTAAGGGTAAGGTTGACATGGACAGAAATCTCATAATCATCCATTTTGAAGTACATGTTCGTGTAAAAGACAGTAGGCAGAAGACCTGCCTATATCTCTTATCTGGCAGAGCTCATGCGTTTGAAAGTGTCTAGTAAGATCTGACTGATAGCAAGTAGGAAAAGAAAGTATAAATACAGTATAAATAAAGCTTACCATGTACTCATTTGTTTTCAGTTCACATCAATAGAATTGACATTAAGATGCATATTTCTGAGTTCTTGGAATTGTGCTTTAAAGACTATTTTTAGCAGATCATAAAATTATGTAATATTTGAAATTTTTATATTTCTGAATTATGTACTTTACAGTTTAAATAATTGCTTTTGAAATATTGTTGTGGAACTTAATATCCAGATTTCAAGAGCTCTGTCAATCATAATCTGGGATGAAAATTTAAGGATATATTTCATGATTATTTTTGAGGTTTTCTTCTTAATTGATGCAGCTTGCTTATAGCACCAATAGGGAACCTTTTAGGCTTTTATTTAAAAGTATCTAACCCAGCAATTTTCGAAGAATTTTTTTAAAAATGCGCAATACCTGACTATTTAGTCAGCAATGCTGACCTCTTTTCCTTTAGCTTGTCAAATAAAAAAAAAATGATAAGAACCCACACAATAGTAGCCATCTAATGTGAATGAATCAAAATTGTACTTATTTTTTTGTCAGATTGGCAAAAAATAAAATATACTTTTTTGGTGTGCTGCAGCATTTTAGTAATTAGTTTATATGTGCCACAAGATGAAAAAGGTTGAAAATCACTGATCTAGCCCATAGTTGTATTCATAGTTTAAAAATTCAACAGGTCTTAATAAAAAAATGATAAAAATTAAAAAAAATAAAAATTCAACAGGTACTAAAAAATCTTTTATGGCAGTAAAGTGTTAACACAGTGGTTATATTATGTGTGTATTTTTTGGTGTCTTAGGACATCTGTCTCTATTTTTATTTCTCTGTGTTTTATACTTTGAATAGGAACTCTGTCCTTTTCACAATGCCACATCATTATTTTCTTTCTGTCTTTTTTCTTTTTTTGAAGTATAATTGACATATAACATTATACATATTAGTTATATTGCCTTAGATTGGGTAGGTAATTTTAAAGATGACATAGAATTATTTTCTCATTTTGGAAACAATCATGCATATAATCACTGTATCAGTTCAAGGGACATGCTTATAGCCAATGCTTTTTCTCCTGGGAGTTTTTGAACATTTTTTGGCTTTGATTTGGCTCCATTTCCTAGAGATAGTGATTGGCAATAGTATTAGACTAGCTCACAAAGAAAATTCTAAATCGTCTGGGGAAATACAATGTTTTTGCTGCTGTCAATATGACATAAACCCATGGCTTTCTTAGGATTTGCTTCAGGTTCATTCCAGATGCCTGAAACATATGCTTATTGAGAGTTTTTATGTTTACTCTCTGAAAAATTAAGCCTAAGATTCTCATTGTCTCCCTTTAAACTTTGTCTCCTGTCTGGTTATTGCATTGAGCATTTAGTCATTTATAAATATTTTATTATAAAAGTCTTCTGTTATCTAAACTTGAAAGAAAAACAAACCTTTTAAAGAAATGTTTAATTGCTAAAAGTAATGTGTGTACTAATCATTACTGATCTTTTAGAAATACTTTGAGAGATCCCCCGAGCAGCTTTCACAATTAGTTGGCATGGCTGTAAAGAGTTTGCAGTGATCTGAGTAAATACCATAAAGTTGTATTTGTTCTCATAGCCTTTCAGTAGTCTTTCATATGGTCTTAAAATTTCAAAGCACAAAAGGATGTCAATAGTGAGATTCCACATCTTTCAGTTTTACAAACATAAAATTAAAGTCAAAAGGGATTAAGTCACTTTAACTACAACCTAGCAATCCACTTTTCTCCCATCTCTTTCTCAAGTAGTAATCTCCTATGATATTTTTCCAACAACAGTTAAATATAAAAAATTCCCAGGTTCACCTCTTTTAAAGTTTTGCTAACATCAGTAAAAATTGCAACCGAAGTTTTCCTTCTTCCTCCCTTATATCCAACTATTGCTCTGAGGTTTGAGTTTTTCAGCCCTCGTCCCTAGGCCTGGCTTCACTAAATGCTAAATTACTCTCAGAGCCTCCTTGCTTCTTTTCTTTCTCTATCCTCTTTTTATGGTGTCTTCTTATGGCATTGGACATTTTCTCTTTCAGATTTTGTTTTGGTCACACTGCCTTATTTTTAGAAGACTATGTAGTGTGTTCAGGTAGCCTCTCACATAAAGTAAAAAACTCCCAGTAGCACAGTGTCACTGTTGCCATCTGTAAGGGTACTATTTTATGAATTGACTCTTCTCAACATCAGCTTATTTTGAGGAAACCTTTTTGCCATCTCTGTATTTAAAATGCTCCTGCACATTTCTGTGCTCTACAGGGATACCATAATAATGAAATTTATATTCATTTTATCTCAAATGCAGCCCTCTTCTTGGCCTATTTTTTGCCTCATTTTAAGATTTTTATATTTACTGGTCAGTCTTTTTGTACTCTTTTCTAAGGAGAGTAAAGTGTTCGTTTTAAAAGTGGAATGGAAAGGTTGGTTAAGAATACATAGAGTCGTGTTTCAGAACACCTCCTTGTGTACTAAGGCAGTTTTAGAAAGAACAAACCCACCCAAATTGTTTAGTGAAAAAAACAGTAAATATTTAGGATGTAACATAAACCTTCTGAAATTAAACTAAACCTAAATACAAAACTAGATCTAAGAACGGAGATGATAAAATAGGAAGAAGGAACTACAGATACAGGTACAACCATTAAAAAAAACCAATTTTTAATATTTTTATTTAATGGTTGACAAAAATTTAATTTTTTTTTCAGACATAAGATTCTAAATATGTTAACTAAGAACCCACCGTTTACGAAGAACATGGAGTCTCCCTTGTGCACTGAAGCCCTGGTGGATCAACTTTGGAAACTGATGAATTCCGGTGAGATGACAGTGGCCTTCAAAAAAAATTCTGTGATTGGATTATTTTCATTTTACAATAGGTTTTCAATACTTAAAGAACTATGGTTTATTTTTTATCTTTTTATTTTTAAAGTGGGCTACTTCTTATACCTTCCTTTACAGTGCTAGATGTGAATCATTTTCTAGGGATATATTCATTATATCCTTTTGGTATTCATTTTGTAAAGAAGAATGGTGTTGGTGATTACATTTTTCTAGTTATAAAATTCACTAGTTCACTCACTACCATTTATTGTTCCTGGAGTGATTTATAAGTATTTGCACTAAGATAAGATGCATCTTTAGGGTAGATGCTTTGCCAGTGGGGGCTGTAGGTCAAGAGATGGCTGCTTTTAAGCATCATAATCCTTTCATTTCTTCCCTCTGAACAAGTTCTGGGACAGTTAACAATGTATGTTTACATGTGCATATTGAGTTTTATTCCTTTATTTCTTTTCCTTCTTAGGTACTTCCCATGACTGGAGGCTACGGTGTGGTGCTGTGGACTTGTACTTCACACTTTTTGGCCTCAGTAGACCTTCCTGCTTGCCCTTGCCAGAGCTTGGGTTGGTTCTCAATCTCAAAGAGAAAAAAGCTGTCTTGAATCCGACCATAATTCCAGAGGCCATCGCAGGCAACCAAGAAGCTGCAATTAATCCAAGTAGCCATGCACAGCTAGTTGGATTTCAGAACCCTGTAAGAATCACGTGTGTTATAGAAGATGTGGTTTTATTATATAGGGCTATCTCGAGAAGAGAATTGCTTCTTTTGAACTGACAAATTTTAATGCCACTAACAGCTTGTTTTGTACCTTTTTAAAAACTGCTGGCTGATGTAGTTTACAAAATGTACTGGCAACTCCATAGTGCTGCCAGTCCATTTACCCCTTTTGTGGTGATATAATGATTGTTTGTACTTGAGCATAGAATTTCTTCTTTGAGCAATAGAAGACTGAAATGAATATTTAACCTGTTACATATTAACCTTCTTGCCCATTTATGGTAGTGGCAAACCGTTTGAACGCAAGGGGCCCTGACTTCCACCCCGCCCCCTGCTCTGTATAACACCTAGCAGTTTTAAACATGACAAGTGCCTGGCAAATGCTTCTTGAATAAATAGATAACGAATGATCAGGTAAATGAGTAATCTGATTTGGGAGGACATTGTCTATTACATTTTAAAATTTGTGTGTATGTTTGCCTTTACATAGAAAGTTTTATTTCTAGCTATGCATTATAAAATTACCAGACATTTTGTAGACAGACCTTAAGGATACATACCAATCATTTTATTGTAATTTAAAGAACATTTTTTAGAAATGGTTTTTTTCATTGATGACAAAATGTCCCCAATATGTCAGGCTTCATTTTTCACCAATATTTAGACCAGGTTACTTGCCTGGCAATTCCCTACTGGTGTTTTGACACTTTAAAACTCAGATTCTCTCTATTCTAGTTAGAAATAGTCATTTAAAATTACTTAGATTTTCTGAAATATAATTGAACTTAATTATTGTAAGTTTAAAACGTATCCTAGAGTTTGGGTTATGAAGAAGTAAAATAAATCTTTCCATAGGGGGGAAAAAAGAGTTTCATTAAAGAGCTCTTGTAGATCTGAATAGTAATAGATCTGTGGAAATGAGTATGTTTATAATTCTCACCCGTATGTGTTAATTTATCCACATTCATATGTGGAGTCTTCGGGATAAGAGGAGAAAATGTGACACCAAAAGATATATTCTTTTGGGAAAGCTCTAAAAGTTCACTTAAATAACTCTTCTCCCCCTTGCCTGCCCCTCCCCCCAAAAAACCAGCAGACCGAAAAAGGTGAAATTTATTTTAAGCCCATTGCTGATAACTTTTAGGCACTGGGCATGCTCTAATCTGCATGGTTGCTATAGCTCTTAGTTTTCAGCTATAAAATGAGCTATTTGTCTTCAGAAATCTAATTTTGATCTTAAATATTGCCGCAGGAAGATGATCACCTTGCCAAGGAAGCATCATGTAATATATCAGCTCATCAGCAGGGAGTGAAGAGGAAGTCTGATACACCACTGGGGTCCCCACTAGAACCTGGTCAAATACTGGAGAAGAATGAGGATAGCAGTAAAGTCAAACTCAAAATCAGAGTAAGAAATACAGGTTAAGCCTGTATTAACAGTGTAGGATATTCACCTTCTTGTAAATCTTTGAATATTTGCGATGGTTTTTCCTTAGTAATAGATGGGACAGACTGAATCACAGAAGAACTCAAATGCCCATCTCTAAAACATTCCAACCAATTGTTTAACTACTGTTATCAGATACTTCTGTGTGTGGGGAGGAACTATGTGTACATCTACCACTGCTCACTACTCTCCCATAACGTAGGAATAGATTTTAGTTGCTGTTAAATTTCCAGTAATTTTCAATCAGCTTCTTTTGGAGGCTGAACCACATAATCTTTTCTCTCTCTTAATACTTTTTTGAGAAAAAGACACTGCTTTTCCTTTTAAGATTATTTGGGGGAATAGCCTATGGCCTCTCTGCTACTTTTCCTAAGTACTAAGATCCAAATATAAAGTGATATATGGCCCTTTTTCTCTTTTGTTCTGTGTTTCTCTTTTAGTTTTCAAGCTCTCAAGACGAAGAAGAGATTGATATGGATACTGTTCATGATAGCCAGGCCTTCATTTCTCATCATTTGAACATGCTTGAAAGGCCATCAACTCCAGGTAAGATTAGTACTGCTGTCACGGGGATGATCAGGAGAGTTCACATACCACTATTCTAAAGTGTGTTGCTTTATTCATTTATTTTCACTCCTCCCCTGAAGATACGTTTATTGATTTTTAAAGAGAGAGAGAAACAGAGAAAGAAACATCAGTGTGAGAGAAACACTGATCAATTGCTTCCCGTACATGCCCCGATCAGGGACCAAACCTGCATCCTAGGTATGTGCCCTGACTGGGAATTGAACCTTCAGCCTTTTGGTGTACAAGACTGTGCTCCAACCAACTGAGCCACCTGACCAGGGCTTGGTTTAATTTTAAGTGAACAACTATAATGTTTAAAAGTAGCTGGTATAAAATAAAATATTAGATTGTTTCAGATTATAACACACATGAGCAAAGGAATAAGTTAAAAAAATGTTTCTTTTGATTTTCCATTTTATTTTTTTAATATTTGGCATATTTATACTTTTTAAAAAAAAAAACCCATTTATCAGATTCCTTCCAATAGCTTTAATTTCTCTCCGTCTCTCCCTAGTAGGCTTAACCTAAAAGTTAAAATAAAATACTAGATTCAGTTTGTTTTTAATAATGTAACCATAATTATATTTCAGATTCTTTGACTAAAGTTAATGCTGCTCAAAATACAACTACTTCTTTTTTGTCTGTCTGTTTCACATCATATCATATCATAGATTTTTGTGTGCACCTCTCAAACATAATCTTTCCTTTTGAAAATATTATCTGAGACAGTATTGAGTTGACATACTAAAATTTACCTTACTATTTCCCTGTTGGTAGGCATTTAGGTATTTTTTATTTTTATTTGTTACAGGTAATTCTACACTGCATTTCTTCATACAAAAACTTTTGTTTCTTTTTTTATCAAATTATGTTCTTTGGATAAATTCCCTAAAATACATTGTTGGCTAAATTATTAATTTTAACTATATTATGAGATACTTCACTTCAGATTGTCATAGCTCTTGATATATAATGCCATAATGCCTTTCAAAGAGATTTCACATAGTTTATGTCATCAGCGTTTTTTAATTTTCAGGAATAAAGCTTAGATATAACTTGCATGTAAGTTGCGAAATACAGTATTTTTTAAAAAATGTGTGAACCTGCTACCCACCTTAACGTCTTTATTTCACTCCATCCCATGGGCTTTGCCACCGTGCATCTTCCCAGAATCTGTTCACTTGCCTTTGCGCTACAAGTAAATACTGTCTTGATTTTAATTTTCTCTTTCTTAATCATTCTACTGCTTTTTAAATAGTGTGCCACATAGATATATAATCTATATGTTTGCTCACATCTTATAAATTTTTTGAAATTGGTATGGCACTTGATATTACTAGGTTTTTTCACTCAACATTATGCTTCTAAAATTCATATTGATACATAAGGTATAATTCATTAATTTTCATTTATCATTATCATTTTTTGTATGTCATAGTTTTACTGTCATAAATGCAATAACCTAAAAGATTAATTGACTATAAAATAATTTATGTTTATTTTATAGTTTTAAAATTATGACTTTTATCTGGGTACTCTTTCTATTTCTTTTTATTGGAAAATCTTATTCATACGCCATGCTGGTTGTCTTTTATGATATTTACATTTGAGTGAGTGTTTTTTTCTAACATGTTACCTTTTGGCAAAGTTCCTGTTATCCATCTTGGTCTGCTTTATGTCTGTTTGGCTTTCTGTTTAGTTTTAGTTAGGAGACCTAGACCATTTTTCACTATCTAGTCATCTGGGATGAGCTAGTGGAATTTGAGAACTAACTTCAGGTAGGATATGAGGCCTAAGATATATTTGAAAACTGACAGGTTATGGATTTCTTGGCTTTTATAATTGTAAGAGATCTTATCAACTATTTATCTGTTCTATCCATTTTACAGATAAATAAACTTAAGCAGAGAGATAGCAAATGACTTTCCCTAAAGGACACATCCAGTAATAGCCATCTCAGGGCTAGACCCAAAGCTTAAAACTTTTCCGTGTGACAAATGAAGGAATTGAGACACATAAATGTTTTACCTGGTTTATATATCTTATTTGTTGATAATTTGGAATCAGAACCTGGGTCTCCTGATACCTACTACAGTGCTATTCATATTATACCATTAAGACATTTCCTATTTTAAATATCTTCTTTAACCCCTAAATTATTTTATCTATATATTGAGTAAATAGTAGAATGGAATTTATTAACAAATTTGGGGGGATAGCGAGCAATCTTTACTATATGCGAAGTTCTGTGTAAATATTAAGAAATATGACATGGTTTCTGCACCAGAGTATAGAATCCATTTTATATGTTCAGCAGACCAGTCAAACTTCCTGTCTTTCTGGACTGTGTATTGTTCTCAGGCTTAAGTATATAGGAACCGTGACAAGGGGTTAAATCAAATGGTATCTTCAGCAGTAGAAACTGTACTCTTTTATAAGAATTTTACTGTTGAACTGTTTCTGGTTTAAAGGTTAGCTTATAAAAATCTGTCAGGCTTTTTTTTTTTTTCCTTTTGGGAAAGAAAGAAATTAATTCTCCGCCTCCTTTGGAATTTTAGGGCTCTCTAAGTACCGGCCGGCCAGCTCTCGGCCTGCGCTGATACCCCAGCACTCGCCAGTCAGCGACGGTGCGCCCGCTGCCAAGCCCCAGTGGGGTGTGGAGCTTGCACGGAAGGGAGCAGGTGAAATTATGGTGGTGGTTACTTTTTTGCTCAAGAACAAATCTATAAACTCCATAAGGTTTCTTTTCTTCTTTTTCGCATTCAATGTTATATTCGTTTCAGGTGTACAACAAAATGTCTTTATTAACTTAAAAAATAAAAGTACAGATCTAAGGACTTTCTTTTCTTGCAACACTTTGACTTTAAAGTATCTAACATAAAGACTACTTTAAATTAGACTATTTACTATTTCAAAAGTAATTTACTCCTATTTTGGAAAACTTGGAAATAACAGAAAAGTAGAAAGGAAGGGGAAAAAATCATCTTATGTTGTTTAAAGATACCCATTATATTAACATCTTGCTTTTCCCTTGTAGTGCTTTTTCTAAGAATGTTATAACACGAAAATGTGTCAGCTTTGGTAGGAATCATTAAATCTGTCCCTTTGTACTTTCATAAAATACAAAAATGAGCCATTTATTTCTCCTCTCTCCTTTGCCCTGGATGTTTTACAGTTGGTTCAATCATGAAGACTTGGTGCTATATCTAGAAAACTAACTTGTTTTGACTTTTAAATTATTTCACACTAATCAAGCTTGTTTATGAAGGGAATTCAGTTTAGATATGTTTATTACCTATTCTACTATTTAACACTGTCTTCTGCTTACTCTGTTCTTCTGTCGTTTGGAAGGAGATTATAATCCAAATAAAGAGCAAACAGTTGATGCAGATGAAAAGATTTAGTCTTCAATTTTGGAGGAACTGGGAGTGAAAAACAAGATACATAAGCAAAATCACTTTTAATGAATAGTTTTTCCAAAAGTCATTAATCTGGCTTTAAAATTTCAATGGATGGGTTTTGCTTATATAAACCATGTTTTTATGATATAAACAGAAGAGTAACTGTTTATTGATTTGAGGAGCTTAGGAAACCAACTGTGATTAAGAGGAGACTTCAAACAAAAGCAACATCTCAAAATATTTTGGTATTGTGACCCCAGACGGTTGGGTGCTTATATCTCTGTGTGCTTTATGCATTTATTGTAGTAGATTCACAAAATATATTTCAGAAGGAAATCAGCTGGAGACTTTAGCACTGACTTTGACAAGTGAATTTTGACATTTTTTTTAACCCTCGCTGGTTTTGTATTCTCTTGGGGTTTTTTTTGGAGGGGGCGTTGTTTGCTTTGTTCTGGTGCAGTTTTCCTTTACTGTCATACTTATTAAAAATTTTGCTAGATGTGAAAAATTTTTTAAAATTATAAAACTTAGGGAGTTTCAAACCTCTTGATACAGCTTGACAGTGACACTTGTGCCTTTTAAAAAAATAATACTGTCTGAATTTCAGTAGTCAAATTCCTGTTCCAGAAAATGACCTAAATGCATATGTTTGGTTTTTCTCTGTTATGGCACACTAACCTATGCAGAAGCAAATCTTAACACCTTTTTGTACCCAACAGCGTGCTTTTGTGTTATTGTGCCATATGTCTTTAAAAATGCATTTGGGAATTTCTCTTTACAGTCTTAGAGTTCTCATGGCATACTGTGGGAAGACTGGGGAGGAGATATGGGGCACGTGGTGGGGAATAGGAAAGCTTTAAAATTTTAACTTTAGTTGCTGTTAGTGAAGCGCCCTTTTATGTCATGAGACAAAATCTTTACCAGTATATTATTTATAGACAGATCTATAGAACTTAAATTTTGAATATATTCTTTAATGCACCTTTATAATTTCTTTAAATATATTTATGCTGTTCAGTACCTTATGACCACTGAGCAGGTCTTTAAATTCAAGTGTTATTATTAGAATTTAGGAAACCTTCATTTTACAAATGATAGTGTTCCAAAGGTTTAGATCTACATGTATTTATTTGGGGATCTAAAAACAGTTTTCCTGTAGACACACTATTATATTTGATAGATAACTTTCCCATACCAGCCAACAAAAACCCTTTTAACTTACCTGAAGAAAAGAAGTACAAAACCTAGCCCTGTGTGGACCGGTGTCTCTAAGAGAAGGGGCACTTGCAGCTCTGCCTTTCAGAATGACAAGCACAGCTGTAACCTAACCCAAGTGAGGTTGTGAAGTCGGCAGTACAAGAGGAACTTCCTGTCTTCCTGCCTCCCAGCGGGAAGAGGGGGTCTTCTTGGCCTGGGGCTGAGAGTTGGGGGTTCACCAGAGGAGCACAGGAAGAGCAGTGGAACGGGAGGCTGTGACTTCTCTTCAGTCTGCAGGGATCCTAGATTGAGGTTCACAAATGGGTTCTTTTGGCCTTACTCAGTTCATTCAGCTGAGGCATCTTTTATTTGGTCTTTAGAAGTCTTATAAATTTTTTTGCACTTGCCTAAAAATGAAGAGATTATACATAAAAATCTGGATTTCCAGCTTCTCTTGTAAAAGAGTTAACTGAGAGGCCTTTTTAGATAGGGATGTGCTATTTCATTGATTCCATTTGTTTGCACCTGGTAGTCTGTGTCCTCATTTATGCTGTCTTCTTAGGTCCAAGGCTTTTGAGTTTGGGACCCCTGCTTCCTTTATTCATGAGCTGAGATGAAGTCTGAGGGGGTCTTTCAGAGCCAGCAAGCCAGACGATGACTGAGCACTGGAATGTGTTGCAGATGTCATCTGGGAGGAGTAGAAAAAGAAGGAGGGTTTAGGTCAGATAAAGAAGAGCTGGAAACTGTGTAGAGGAAAGTCACATTTTATATTTTCTAACCTTCCAGCTTTCCTGCATAATATTTTAGGGCACGAATGATAGGTGTATGGTAGGTTAAGGCATTTGAGATAAAAAAGAAGTGGCAGGAGTATTTTCCTTCGTTACTTTATACTAGTTCTTTTCCCTCCCCTGAGGTAAGGAAGGGGATTTGGAGAAAGGGTTTACGGTTCCCATGGTGACTGGTTAAGCATACCATGCCTTCTCTCGGGCCACTGCAGCCTGGCCTCCCGCCCAAGCTGCTGCCCAAGCTGCTGCAGCGTTGCTGTGATGAAGCAGAGAGGAGGAGCAGCTGGAGCGGAGCAGTGGGAACCCCTGATGGTTCTGTGGGGAAGGAGAGGGGAGTCCTGTGGTTGCCTGGCTAGGGCTGCTGTACATGGAGCGCCTTCCTGCATAAGCAGCAAAGCACTCTTTTGATGCATGAAATTCTCTAAAACAAAAACCAAAGCACGTGAGAGCCCTACCATTCTTCTTTTGAAACTCTAATATGGAAAACAGACTTTGCTCTTTTTCTTAAATTTTAATGACATAATTCTACACTTTAATTTTTATAGTGATCTAAAGAATCCCAAGAATAGACTTTACAATTCTTCTAATAGAAATGGCAGGTTTTGTGTTAAATTTAAACTTATACCTAATGTGAATGAATTTAATAGTATTAACCGGTTACTGACTATTATCAGCGCCCTTGTAAATGGGCTGAAAAACTTCCATATTAGGCTTTCTATTTGTTTTGTTTTGCATTTGTTAAGTTAACTGCAGCAAACTATTACAGTGCATTTTATTAGGTCTCTAGGGAAGATTCTGTATTGGGTAGAACAACAAAACTAAGTATCTGTTTTATTCTTTCTCTGTAACATGAAGTAGAAAAATTATAATGTGGAGTGAGTGAGGGAGTGAGTGAGTGTGTGTGTGTGTGTGTGTGTGTGTGTGTGTGTGTGTGTGTCCTTTTTCTGATATACCTGATATCCTACAATGGAGACATATATATATATATATATTTCAGGTCACTGAAAGGGTTATAAGTAACTTAAAAATGAGTGGGTCTCAGGTTCCCAGGCTTCCTATAAGCCCCTGCAATAATATATGAAATTACATGTGTAAATGTTTGTGCTGGGGATGATAATACTTTCACTTTTCCATAAGTGGAGACAACCTTCTAATCCTAGTGTGAAAGTAAATTCATGTGTCCCAAATCTGACTGGGAATACATACAATTCCACATGGGAAGGACATGGCACTTTCTTACCACCTTGGATTAGACTTGGTAATAGTTAGCCAGGAAAGATAGGGATCAAGCAAACAAGATATATATTGTCTCTCATAAAGGAAAAACTTCATAACCAGAGGTTAAAAGAGATTTAAAGGCAGGTGGTAGGGACAGAGTAACATTAGGTTTTGTCAGCGCACTGTTGTTCCAGATAGTAGTCTAATGAATAGTAGAATATTTCTTTGCACATTTGTGGGATAAATTTCTGGAAATGAACTCTCTCAGTCAAAGAATATGGGCATTTGACATTTTCATGGATAGAACCATATTGCTTTAACCGCTCCTTTAAAAAATGCTTTATTAGGGAAAACTGAAGTAGTCAGATGAGTATAATGAAACCCTAATCTGTGTCCTTACCCATTTCCACCCTTCTGAATTATTTTGTTACAAATCCTACATATCATCATTTCAAATAATTTAGTGTGGGGGACCCCTTCACTAAATTTACCAATTTAGGTGGAGGTGAAAGAGAGTGTAAAGGGGATAAATGGTAATGGGAAAAAATACAGTAAAAAAAACTATTAAAAATAATTTAGTATGTATCTATAAGAGATAAGAACTTCAAAAAGTCATAACCACAGTAATATACTTTTAAAAATGAGGTTTTTTTGTATCATTAAATTAGTCACTGTTTAAATTTTAATTGACTCATAAATACCATTATTTTTATTAACAGTTCATTTGTTGGAATCAGTGTTCACATAAAGTCTACATGTTGCATTTGGCTGGTATATCCTTTATACCTTTATAAATTTAAAGTCTTCAGTTGATCTTTTTATCTTTTCTCCCCCTTTACAATGTATTTGTTAAAGAAACCAGGTTTTTCATCTGTGGTTGTAGGTCTTTATTTTGCTAATTGTATACCTCTGGTGTAGTTAATGTGTTGGAGTCCTCTGTATTTCCTGTAAATTTGTAGCAGTATCTGGAAGCTCAGCAGGTTTATAGGTAGTGGTCTGTTCTTCAGTCTGGATACGTACAGTGTCTGGTTGACTTTTTTATGAAGTTAGTCATTAAGGTATTCAAGGCTTAGAGTTAGGGTCATTAACTCTAAGGGTTGAAAGATAGTAATATTCTAATTTATCTTTCCATTTTTATTTATAAACTGGAATATTTTTATAAAGCTAAATTCGCCTTTGTCTGTTATTTTCCAGTGGTATAGGTCATATAGGAAAAAGAGAAAGGCTTGATTCTATTAATAATTTTCAAAATAACGAATTGGTTAACTAGTATCCTCCAGTACAGTGATTAATCAGTTCCAGTCCATTACAATTTTTATCCTTATCAACATTCAAATTGTCCCACCTTTGGACAGCGAGAACCTCTTAAGGTGACTCTTGAGCCCATTGAGAAGGCTTTAACTTCTTTGCTATTATACCAGGTTGTTCAGACTCATCTTGTAAATTATTTACCCAGACCTGCAATCAACCATTTGTTCTTAGGAGCCCTGGTTCCTAACACTTTTATCCTTGGATCTAGCTAATCCATTGTCTTCATAATACGACAATACAAATCAAGAGAAACTTAAGATATATAATCAAGTAATGTATTTCTAATGCAGAGTATAAGGCCACAGAACTAGAAATTTGTACTTTTAAAGTCCTCTGTATTTCCTGTAAGTATTCCTTGGAAAAGAGTACACGCACGTGCACGCAGTTGTCAATTTGGCAGTTGTCTGTGCTGGAAGGTGCATTTTCCAGTAGAACTGTTGGCTTTTCTGCAATGCAAGTAGCTTGGCAAGTGTGGAGGATTAGATGGTGAAACTTGCCTCGGTGCAGAAAAGGACCGCAGACTCCCAGGAGTGCAGATAGCCAGCTGGACAGCTGCGGAGTCTGTTGATAGGGGCTGACTGAATAGTGAGACAGGCGCTAGAGGAGTTTGTTCATGAGGCCTTCAGGCCTCTTACTGCCTCTCCTCATCCCCTGCCTATGTATTCCGTTTCATATGGAACTGCTTACTTATTTTTATAAAATTATGACCCTATTCATGTAATTTATTTAAAATCTAAATTAAAACCATGTCGTGCAGTAATTTTCAACCTTTTTCATCTCATGGCACACATAAACTAATTACTAAAATTCTGGGGCACACCAAAAAATGCACTTTTTGCCTGACAGGAAGAAAAGGTATAATTTCGATTCATTCACGTTAGATGGCATTGGCGGCCATTGCTGCGTTGGCTGTTGTCATTTCACAATGTGACAGCCTAAGGGAAAAAGAGGTCTGTGCCCCTCAAATAGTCAGGTGTTCCGTGTTTTAAAAATTCTTGTGGCGCACCAGTTGAAAATCACTGATATAATGACATGTTTCACTGATAGTATACATTAAATAGCTCTCAAATTTTTTCTTAATTTGAAGAATATCTAGGTACCAATTATTGCAAAATATGCAGATCCCCAAACTTGCTTCTATATGTAAAAATCTCCTTATTTAGCTTTTGCCTTATTATTAGTATTAGCTTTACCAAAAACTTATAAATATAAAAAATGTAATTTTTTGATAGCAGGAACTTTGTCTGACTTGTTCACTTGCTGTAAATATGGGAGTGGTGCCAGACAGAAAGGAAGTCGAGTAGTCAGCACCATTCGAATGGTCTATACCAGTGTCTGTGATTTATCCCTCATCCTTCAAAAATTAGGGGCCTTCCATTGCATTTAGTTGATCTAAGCTCATCTGACATTCTCTTTACAAAGGAACCCAACAATTACATAATTCTGTTAAATTAATTCCTTTGTTTAGTAAGCTCTAGCAGGGGTGAGGAGGTGGGAGTGTAGGAGCTACTACGTGCGACACACTGGGATCCAAAGGTGAAAAGACAGCCCCGCTTTCTTCAAGAAGTTAAGAGTCTAACCGAAAAACCCAGAGATGAAGGGCGCCCTGCGGGGTGGACCCCACCCGGAGCCAAGGGCAGGGCGGTTAAGAGCACAGGTCCTAGCGTCAGGACCGGTGGTTTGGTAACTCAGCCCTGCCAGCCCGGCCTTGTGCGGTGTTGCGGCGCACGCATATGAAGGAACTGATGAGGGGTGTGCATTTTGGGGAAATGTACCCTCCCCCAAACAAGTAACACGTGAGCTGAGTTTTAAATTATTAAAAAAGCTAAAATGTTTTTTTCTTTTCCGTTCCCTTACTGTGAGTTAGCTTAAACATTATTTATTGGAGACTTTTGCCTCTAATTCCCTCCAACTTCTACCCCCCACTAATTTAAGCCTCCTGTTCTGCTCCCGTTTCACTCTGTGTTTTCGCTTTTTTATTACTTAGACGTAGTTACTCAATTTCTTCCTTCTTTGCTAGTTTGCAAGCTGCAGGAGGACTCATGTCTGTCAAGTTCACTGTTTTCTCTAGTTGCTTATTTGAAACTTATTTGAAACCAGTTCACGGGAGGCGAGCACTGTACAATCCAGATGAAGCGAGATGGGTGAACGTAATACATTTGCAGGCACGATTGGGGGGTGGGTGAGCCTAAGAGATCTTTGCGAGAATCGACAAGATCTGGTAACCAGCCGGACCTCGGAAGGGGCCTGAGATGAGTCCTAGGCTTGTTTCTGAGCCGGCTGCCTGTAAGGCAGTGACTGGGGTAACGCAGAAAGCGTTTTGCCTTGGGGTATGGCGCACGGATTCCTGGGCCTGCGGGAAGCAGGTCTTAGACACTGGGGTCTGAGAACTACTATTGTGGATTCTGATAGAATGTTAGAAAAGGAAAGACCTTTCAAAGACATTTGATCCATTCTTTAGGTGAGATAGAGAAGAATAAAAGCTATGCTGAAGGTTAACAGTGGAACCTATTCTAGAGCACAGGTCTCCTAATTCTCAGGTTTTGTTTTTAATGACACTAGTATCTTTAAGTGGACACATTCTCTTTATACCTTCTTCTAAGTGTGCTGAATATACTTAAAGAGTTTACTTGGCCTGTTCCTAGAAATTACCTTAATGACCTATAGAAATGGGGGGTTTTGTTGAGCCGTCATTGTCAGTCACTTAGTGTAACACAGTCTGCACATCCAAGCGGTTCTCCAGGTGTCCATAGTGCTGCCATTTCCCCGCCCCAGCTCCTTCGGGGGCAGCCGCTGCGATGGGAGCTGTGTTTTCAACGACGGGGTGGGTCTTCACCCGTAACACCAGTGTAATCATTATTGTCTCTGCGCAGTCCTTTAAAATAGTCGATGTTAATTTTTAGAAAATTGTTGGGTAAAACACTGGGATATGTCATAATTTGTACAGACTACAGGAGTTGAAATATTCAGCTTCCTGGCCACGACGCTGAGAACATATTTGTGTGTACTTATTTGTATGCTACTTCTCCTCTTCTACGTATGCCCATGAAAGCACTAGACACTCAGGAGTCCCTCCTTCTGTACTGTCATCAGCTCCCTCTTACTTTCATTCCATTTCGCTTTCCTTGTTATCAACAGGCATTCATTTGGGTGTTTTTAACCTTGAAGGTAAAGAACAGCCCCCTTCGGAGATGAGCGTGCCTCCGGTCACAGCGGCCCCGCTCTCGGTGTTCACGAAAGGGCCGGCGTCCTCCAAGCACGGCGACCACCACCACCACCACCACCACGAGCACAAGAAGAAGAAGAAGAAGCACAAACATAAGCACAAGCACAAGCATAAGCACGAGAGTAAAGAAAAGGACAAGGAGCCTTTCACTTTCTCCAGCCCCGCCAGCGGCAGGTCTGTTCGCTCCCCTTCTCTCTCTGACTGAGCAGAGGATGCGGGAGGCCTTGCCCTCGGTGTCAGGAAGTCAGGTGTACCTGAAACTTTGGTCTCCGTAAAGAATGGTAAAGGAAGAAACCTGCCACCCGTAGAAATTCAGAATCCATTTAAATTCTAAACCTCTGATTTACATCATTTATACAGTTGGGATGTGATAAGGAAAATGTGTTTATGTTCCGAATAAACTGTCTCATCCCATTTCCTCTTTAAAGCGTGCGCGGGCACACCCCCCCACAGAGCAAACCTCTTTTCCTGAAGGCCCGCACGTCCACTGGCAGCCCCCGTTCACGCCACGGTCTCCACGTGCACTGCCAAAGTCAGTTATGTTTGAAAGCCTTTGATGGGCGTTCCCGGGCCAAGTGTTAAACAGAAGCTACTGCCAAATCTTGTGAAAGTCTCTGATTCCAGGGATATATAACACTATTTGGAACTACTGCAGAAGGCAGAAGCTTCTCCATAGGAATCTGCTTGATTGCATGTTTTGAGTGTGTTAACCATAGAATGTAAGCATCAGAGTTTATAAACAAGACTACATGGTATTTTGTTTTGCCCTAAAATACTGAAATTTTCAGAAGCAACCTTTTAAAAAAAAAATTCAATAACTTTTTTGATAATGCATTTGGCAATTATGATGTTGGAATTTAACAGAACTATCAAATCCAGTTCTCAGATTGAGATGTTTAAATTATGTTATTTTTTCATTAACTGCAGGTGAAGAAGTCCATATGTAATATGTTTGCTAAATGTGAACAGTTTACAGAACCAACACCTTCTAAAATTATTCCTATATAACACAAATTATGATATCTTAAGGCAGTGTTTATATACTGCGTGTTAACTGGGACGTAGACAATTTGGTCCTCATGTCAACTGCCATCGCATTTAAGGCATAAGAATGTTCTGGTTTTGAACCTCAATAGTTTGTGTGTTTGTATGTTTTTTGTTTTATTTCTGAATTTACCATGTGCTTTATTGTTTGTTTGTTTAAAATGTTTTCATATGTGTTGTATTTTTATCATTTCCCTTATCATTAAGAAGTTTGGAAGATACTTCTTCTCAGAGTAGATATTTCAAAGGGATCCAATAATGTCAAACTTTTAAATATACTTTTATTTGTATTTAACTTGTTTAATAAATTACTTTTTCAATTAATCATTCTGCTTTTGTGACTTTTTATATCTTGTGCTACCTTTCTCTGTGTGTATGTAGTACACCTACCCTCAAAGTTTGGAGAGCTTTGTGCGTAGGTGGGATCTGAGCTGGCCCTATTAGGAAGAATGATTTAAAGAGATGGATTAAAGTTCTCTTGGCAGAGGAAACAGTATTTCCCAAAGCATAGAAGAAAGCAAGGGACGTTCAGGAATTGTTAGTCAGCACAGCTGGCCAGGAGTGTAAGTGCAAAGGGAATGTGAACAGTTGTTGAAGAGCCTAAAAGGCAGTGATTTAAAGGTTCCTAATAGCTAAGTGTTCCCTAACTGAAAGTTTGTTTCAGAAAATGGAATATTTTGTATTCAGTGTGCAGTCATCGAACACATACATGGAACCCCAACTTTGAAAATAGTAATGATGTATTTCAAAATAATAATTAGTGTTGTAGGGAGACAGTGGCAAATAATAGCTACCTGCATAATTTAAGCACCTCTTACATACCAAGCATTGTACTAGGAGCTATGTTATTTCTAAATTACATATTTATACTGTTTGTTTCTCATGAGGAACATCTTTTATGGCAAACTTTCAGTTATTTAAGCTGATGGTTAGGGGAAGACAATTCAAAAAATTCATATTTTTGAAATAGAATTCATCCGGAATTTATTTTGATAGGTGGTAGGATGTAAGGATCCAACTTTTTATTTCTCTTCCAGAATGCTACTCATTATCATGTATTTCAAACACCTTTTCTCTCTAGATTTCAAGTGTTATATACGGAATTCCCTAATACATTTGGGTCCATTTCTGGACTTTGTATCTGTTCCACGGATTCATGTACTCACCTGCTAGTACCACCCTGTTTAGATCATTGTAGCAATAGATACGGTAGAGCTAGCTTCCCCTCATTTCTTTTTCAAGTTTTTTAGTTATTCCTGAGGGTTATTTTCTTTTTCTGGTTGACTCATTGCTTTATATACAGAGATGCTCATTCCTTGTGGTGTGCGTTTCTGTGGGCGTGACAAACGCTTGGACTTGTGTGTCCGGCCTGCGCAGTTGCATCGCTCCAAACGCCCCTGCCGCCCCTTGGTCGTCAGCTCCCCCACCCCCCGGCCCCGGGCTTCCACTGGCCACTTTTCCATCCCTGTAACTGCCTTTTTGTGGGTTTATTTTCCTATTTAAATACTGGCGTCAGTCTTTTTACTTTCTCCTTGGAATTGTTTTAGTAGTGGCTATTGGTTGTGTATTAAATTGAGAGCTAACTTAGAATTGGTATCTTGATATTCCTCTTAAGGATGTTGATGTTACTACATTAACATAGTATTGCTTTTTAACTACATTTTTAATGTGGTTTATTTTGTTGTTGTTTGGCATTCTGTAAGGGGTGTTTTTTCATTATAAGTTTTATGTATATTCCTTTGGGCTGGTTTTGTACTTAGCTATTCCATTAATCAGGGTTCTCCAGAGAAACAGAAACACACAGACACACAGTGGTTACAGAGTATTGACTCACGTGATGTTGGAGGCTGAGGAGGTCTACAATGTGCTGCCTACAAGCTAGGGACCCAGGAAAGCTCGTGTGGAGTCCGGAGGCCTGAGAGCAGGAAAGCCCCCAGTACGGATTCCCTCCTGGCCCTGAAGGCCTGACGATGCAGAGTGTGAGGGCAGAAGGTGGATGTCCCAGCCTCCTCCAGTCAGGTAGACGGGGATTTAACCTTCCTCCACCTTTGTGTTCTGCTCAGGCCTCCAACAGGATGGGCGATGCCCACCCTCACTGGGGAGGGGCGCCTACTTCACTCAGTCCACCAATCCAAGTAAATGCTGATGTCTTCCTGGAACACCCTCACACACACACCCAGAAATAAAGTTCAGCCAGCCATCTGGGCATCCCTTGGCCCAGTTAAGCTGATATATAAAATTAACCAGCATAGCTATATTACTTCTTTCTCATTATTTGCAATTTTTTTATTGTATTTTTTCTATTACCATTTATCCCTCTTATACCTCCTCCCCTCCGTAATCGGCACGTTGTTGTCCCTGTCCGTGAGTCCTTTTTCCTTTTTGCTCAATCCCTCTACCCCCGTAGCACTCCCTGCTCCCAATAGCTGTCAGCCTGCTCTCCATGAGCCTGTCTCTATTTTATTAGTTTAGTTTGTTCATTAGATTGCAACATATGAGTCAGATCATGTGGCATTTGTCTTTCTCTGACTGGCTTATTTCACTTAGCATAATGTTCTCCAGGTCCATCCATGCGATCACAAGATAAAATTTTGCAGAATAGCCCCAAAATAAACCCACACCTTCATTGTCAATATCTGGTAGAGGACACAAGCACATACAATGGGCTAATGAGAATTTATTCAATAAATGGCTTTGGGAAAATTGGACAGATACGTGCAGAAAAATGAAACGACCACCTTCTTACACCACACACAAGAATAAATTCAAAATGGCTTAAAGACTTGAATGTTAGACCCCAAACTGTGAAAGTCCTGGAAGAAAACAGGCCACAAAATCTTGGTCTTTGCTCATAGCAATATTTTATCTGATAAATCTCCTCAGGCAAGGAAAATAAAAGAAAAAAATAAATGAGACTACATCAAACTAAAAAGTTTTTGCACAGCAAAGAACACCAGCAACAAAAAAAGACAACCCACTGAATAGGAGAACATATTTGCCAATACATCTAATGAGGGCTTAATATCCAAAATTTAAAAAGAACTTTCAAAATTCAGCACCAAAACCCCAAATAATCCAATTTAAAAAATGGGCAAAGGACCTGAATAGACACTTCCCCAAAGAAGACATGCAATATTATTTATGCATTTCTTGGGTTTTACTTGAAAATTATCACATTTGTACATGATGTTAATTTTCTCTTGCATAGCTTTTGTACACTTAGTTTTCTTTTTCCCTGGAAAATACAATTTTTAATTTATTTTTATTTTTTAATTTTTTTTTTGTTCAAATACATTTGTCTCCATTCTCCTGCCACCCACTTTCCTCTGCTCCACCCATCCCCACCTCCCAAGTACATTTAATTTTCTAATTTCTTCTGTCTGACTTCTTTGTCTTGCTGAGTGTGCCCGAGAATGAAGGGAAGGTGCCGCACCCCTTTATTCCCTCTGTATTTGGTTCCTGTTCCCTTGTGTGTTGTGGGTTTGTGTTTCAAATTTGTTGGAATTTGTAGTTGAACAGTTTTTGTTTCCTGTTCGCTCTTTTATTTATTTATTTATTTTTTGAGAGTTCATTTATGTTCGCATTTCTTTTGGATGATTCTGAAGGAGAGAATGGAGAAGTTACTTTACGACCAAAGTCTTGTAAACTTAAAAAGACACTTTGATCACGGTTATCATCCTTGCATTGAAATCCTTGTCTGGTAGATAGCTAGGAAATGACTTTGTTTTCCCATTCTCTTCTAACCCATCGCTTCTGCACCAACTTTTTAGTGTAAACAAGTGAAATTTCTTGGTATCAAATGTGCTCCAGCCCACGCAGAACTGTTTTTCAAAGCTCTTGACCTCTGTCACCCCCACCTTTGAGTGTGGGCCAGACTTAATGACTCACTTCCAAAGAATAGAGTCTGGAAAGGGGGAAATGGTGGCTTTACAGTTAAGACAGACCTACCTTAACCAAGTGACCCTGGTTAGGCATCGCAGTGAGAAGTCATGTGAATACCATGTCCTCCCTCCTCGTGAGGATGTGACGAAAAGGGCGCCTCTGTGGGGAGAAAAACCCACAATCCCAGTCTCCCCGCTCTAGTCATGAGAAGAAACATCAGACGAACCCAAACTGAGAGAGATTCTACAAAATATTCCTCAAAACTATTAAACTTATGAAAAACAGGGAATGACCGAGAGACTTTCACAGAACAGAGGAGACAAAGAAGATGGGGCAACAGTGCAATGCATTTTCCTGGATCGGGTCCCACAGCAGAACAAGGACGTTAGTGAAAAAAGCTAGTGAAATCCAAATACATGCTAGAGTTTAGTTAATGTACTGATGTTGATTTTTTAGATTTGACAAAGGTACTTTGGGAATGTAACATGTTCACAATAGCAGAAACTGGGTGAAAGACATACTTGCTGAGATGGAAATTTACTAATCGAATTGTAATCCTTCTCGCTACGAGTACATGTTCATCTTTTCCGTAACCTAAATTGTTTACTGTGATAATGTAGTCAAAAAGACAGGCAGTCCCTGTCCTCAAAGATCACACCACTGAGAACTAGTGCTTTCTCACTTTTTTTCCTCATGTCTAACTCACATCGTGCTCAAATGGTGTATTAGGTAGTATCCTTTGGTGTTTTACTATGATGGCATTTGTTTGGAACATCGATTAGAGTAATGCTGATGTGCATTCACTTAAGTGACATTCTTAATTTGATGAGATAGCTGCAAGTTTGCGTGCTGGTGTATACAGACTGATGTGCTGAATTTTGTACAAAGGAAAATTGCGTGAAGTACGTTATTTCATTTTCCTACTCTAAGAAATCAAGAAGCAGACTCTAGAGGGCTTTGCTTTATCCATAGGAGTATCTGGTTGCCTGTAGCAGATACTCTATGTAATGTTAAATATTATAAATGCAATACAGAAAGAGGAAAGGGCTCAGCAAATTGAGTGGATTGAAAAGTTGGAAAAACTTTATTATTTCTCAAGATATTCCTTTACCCCCAAAACACATTATTTGGGTGTGTGAAGTCCTTCTTGTTTATGAGTCACTGAGTGAGGGCGGAGTCGTCCCATTCCTGTTTATGATGCTTATTCTCCATTAACAGTCTTGTGTCACTGCAAGTGACTATTGGCACGTAACAGGCTCAGTTTTTATTGAATTGAATATAAAAGTAGAAGGTGATTTTATCAGCCAGAGAGTAAACAATATTGTGGAGAGATCATTGTTCTGGAAAACAGTAAACCCAG